AGCTTTAAATAAGCAGAGGTAACCAATACATGCAGGCCCACCAACACAAGTGAATGAACCTTTCATTGAATTTCCTGTCTTTCCTGAATCTGGTTAACACGAGCGAATTACCCAGACCCCTGTAAAAGCTAGGAAGACAAGTCACGTCATCTGACCCAAGGAACTGGCTCTTGGGTTGTACTAACTAAACTATTACTAACTCAGATGTGATGTCTTAACTGGAATCTCTCTCTAAAAACTTTGTACATTGAAGAATCTAAGTAGAAAGATTTTTTTCAACATGTAACTTTTGGAATGTGTATTTTGCACTTTTTTCTTCACTTACCTTTCTCTTTGTCCACTCTAATGACAACCACGCATTCATTCCTGCCGATTCGGATGAGTTTGTTTATGGAGCGAATCCGCCTTCTGGATAATTCACTAAGAAGAATCATGCCTTCAATATTGTTGTACTCCAGCAAGCTCACGTAAGCCCCCATTTCAGCAATGGATCTTACGTTCACCATCACTACATCTTCCACCTCTGGAAATTTATGTTGATAAAATCTACAACTTAGACCTGGCATTCTGCAATTGAAACAAAAGGAATCAAATCAATGTCCAGCTAAGGTCGAAATAAAGAAACAGCTGCAAATTGACCACACTTTGCAATGTAATAATACAATGATAGTCATTTCAAAAATTTTAAATGGCACCAGAAAGAATGGATGTTCAGGAATCCAGTTTTAATTTTTGTTTTGCTCTACATTTTTAAAGGGTTGGGCAATTCCTTGACACCAGTTTCAGACAAATCGTAAAAGATAATGACCATCTATTAAGGTACTCTGAGGCTGAGGGATTAAAGGAATACCTCAAGAGTAAAACAGTTTTAATACCACCACTTTAAGGAGGACCAAATGGTGGGACGCATCACTACCCTTCTACGTGGAGCCACAAACCAAAGCCGGTCTTGTCCCGAGTCGGCTGAGCCGGCACATGCTACCCACCACACAGAACAAGGCACCTTCTAAACTTCTTTCCATCTTAATGATGCACTTTAAGCCTAGTGGAATATACGTTCCTCTCCAGCTCCTACTCCAGTTTTCTTCCCTTGCTGAGCAGGCATGCCCAGTCTGGACAGCAGCTTTAGAAATTTACATTACGATAAAGTCTGAACCTCCAGGCAATAAATATATTTAAAATCTCCCCCTTTCATCCACCTCTATTTTTAGCACCAACCCTATCATGACCCACATGCCTGAAATAATACCATGTGAAGAAGCGTATTTTCAAAAGGAACTAATCAGATTAATAATGCGTAATTTTTTTCTTTTAAAAAAGGTTTACTAATGGGCTGGTGAAACAGCCTAGTGGTTAAATCCTCATCTTGCATGCACCAGGATCCCATACGGGTACTGGTTTGTGTCCTGGTTGCTCCACTTCCCTTCCAGCTCCCTGCTTGTGCCTGCCAGAGCAGCAGAGGATGGTCCAAAGGCTTGCGACCCTGCACCCGCGCGGGAGACCTGGAAGAAGCTCCTGATTGCAGATGGGCTCAGTTCTGGCCGTTGTGGACACGTGGAGAGTCACCCAGTGGGTGAAAGATCTTTCTGACTCTCCTTCTCTCTGTAAATCTTTCTAATAAAAATCTAAAAATCTTAAAAAAAAAAAAAAAGGGGGGGGGAGGCTTATTTATCTGAGAAGCAGAATGACAGAGCCGGCGAGCATGGCAGCACGTACTCCCATGTGCTGCTTTGCTCCCCAAATGGCTGCAATATTTGGGTCCGGGCTAGGTCAGAGCTAGCAGACAGGGACTTCAGGGCTTGCACCATCATCTGCCACATTAGCAGGCAGGCCGACTGAAGTGGAGCAGCCAGGGCTAGAACGAGCACTCTGATATGGATGCTGAAGCCCCTGCATCTTGTGACCCGGGAGGCAGATCCTTCACATGCAGCTCACTCAGCAGTGCTGATCCCCATGGCCTGCTCAGCGGGAGCATGCAGGCTCACACAGCCTCCCGTCACCCAGAGTCCCCTGACTTGGTCACTGCCCATCTCCTCCTACTGGAGCACAGGCTAAGAAACTTCTTCCACATACTGATAACAAGCAGTGAAGACTCAGGATTTGAACCCAGAAGTCTGTTTCCGGAGTGTATTCCTACCAATCACATTGTATTTTTAAGATTATTGATAAATACATAGAAACATCTTACGTAAACCACAAGAGCTACCAACATACGCAGTACTGGAGCATGCCACAGATCAAAGAAAATCACTGTGAACAAACTGTCCTATTTAACAGTGAGTGGCACACCAATGGCAGGGCAGTGCTTCCCTGCCGCCCAAAAGGAAGGATTCAGCACAAACAGCGAAGGCCAGTGAATGGGCAGGAATTACCCATCCACAAATAGCTGAGCTGGCCACCTCACCTTCCTGCAGGGCTCTGGGGAAGAGACAACTGGGGACCACTCTATTCAACAGCTTTCTGCAAAGCACCGGGATCTCAGAGTGAGGAAGCTCCCACTGGACTTCGAGGTAAGGGAGAACAGTTTCCCGGATGAAAGCCAGCTCCCCTAGGAATGGCAAGGACTTAACTCTGAGCCATCAGCTGCTGCACAGCAGGGTACGCAGGGGCAGGGACAGGCCTGAGAGCGGAGGCAAGCCTCAGCCCTAGGCTGTCTGACTTGGGACACGGCCATCCCAAGTGGCTTCCTCCACCCGACTAAAGAACAAACACAGCAGTGCAAAGAAACTTCTGGGGGAAGATTCGAATATTACTTTAGGGGGTACAAATGGTTTTGCAACACACAGGTAAACAGTGGAACACCACCATCAACGAAGTAGTCGATAAGCACAGAAAGAAGGTGGGATCACAAGGCAGCTCCATTTAGCTTGACAGGGCTTGAACACACCGTGCTGAAAATGAAGGTTCATCTTCCAAGTGTGTTTTTGTAGTCACAGAAATCACAGTAGGTAGTTTATTCGCACAAATGCTTAGCACAGACCCCAACAGGAGCTGAACCCAAGCCTTCCCCCACAATCCCATAGTCTCAATGACAGATCACTACAATACTGCCATGTATTCTAATGCAAAAACAAAGCCACCTTTCAAAATAGATGTACCAAGCTTCACACTAATTTCAAAGAACCCACGCTGAACGTTTACCATAGAATTTTTTAAAACTTTCACTTAACACGCAGAAGATGGGTTATCATCCGTCCCCTGCCCCAAGGGTCTCCCAGGTGGGAAGCAGTGACCCCACTGCCATGCCCTGCAGCCTTCCAGGGTGGCCTTCAGCAGGAAGTCTGAATGCAGGCACTCGGAAACGAGGTGACTACACAGTGGCACCCTAAATCCTGATGCCAAGTGCTGACTGGCGTTTTTTTTCTTGAACCAGCGCCCAGCTGAGGTCCCCCGGCGGTACCAGGGAGTCCATACTCGCTCCTGATGGGAAGCGTGTCACCTAATGGGAAGAGCTTCTGGGACCCCAACAAGCGCCCTGCGGAAATGCTCTCAGTGTGCTGGCTCTGGGGCCAGGAGTGCCAACCGCTTTCAGTTTGTAGGTTCGAGAAGCACCACCAACTCTACCGACCTGTCTCTATCGGCCAGTCATACACTCCTGACGGTCAGTACCTGCCCCATGACAGCGAATGAACAGAATCAAAGTATGCTGATCAAAGATTCAAAGTTTTCTTTTTCCCCTTAACTAAAACAACTCATGGGGGGTGGGGAATCGGGAACCAAAGTCTCCCTGCTATACTACTTCCCCTGTGTCACTTGCTGAATACAAATTTCAAGTTTCAGGGAGGGGGAAAAAAAAAAACCTGGACGAATTTGTATTTAACCTTCAAGAATTCCCTTAATTTTTTGTGATGCTTAACTTGTAAAACCACAACCCTAAGACCCACCACGACCCACACTACCACAGCCATAGGCTCCTCGAGAAAACGACTTAAAGTAGGAGTCATTCCCCAGAGAGGTCCCCTACTCGGGCGAAAAGATCGATTCAGGCTGCGCTTTGGAAAATGAGTGATCTACGAACCCAGCTGTTTTTTTTTTTCTTTTTTAAACACCTATGCCTATGGTTCCTTAGACAAGAGATTTCATTTGCACAATCAGAAGAGAAACTTTTGGCAGAAAGTATTCTCAGCGCTAATTAAAGGCGTGGGGCGAGGTGGGGAGAGGAGTGATGAAGCAGGGCCGGAAAGCAGGCGCTCGGCGGCCGGGAGCGGGGGTGCCCCGAGGCCGCCCCAGCCCGAGGGAGCCCCGAGGCCGCCCCACTGCAGCGCCGTCCGGGGGCCGTGCGAGTCCCGCGGCCCCGCTCCCTTCACGCATGGACGACACATGGACCCGACCCCGGCCCGGCCGGTGCCCACGCTTCCCGCGCAGGCACGGGAAGACGGAACCGGGCGCTTTCGGCCCGCGGGCTACAACCCCCCAGCGAAGGTCTCGAGGAAACCGCGTTCGCGATGAGCGACCTGGAGGAAGCGTGTGAATCCCACCCTAGGGTCCCGCGTCGCGCTTTCCAAGCCGAGAGGTCACACACTCGACACAGCCGCCCCAGCCGCCGGACCTTCAGCGTGCGCTTCGCTCCGCTCTACCGCGCATGCGCAGCCCCACCTCGCAGCGCGCAGGCGCCGACACACCCGCGGCCCTCTTCCCCACCGACCATAGAGTGGGAGGGGGGGTCCTCCGAGAGCCACGATTCATAGGAGGCCCTGGAGAATACGTTTTATCCAGAAACTTCAGCTTTTAAGAAATCACTTTCACGACTCGGGGGGAAAAGGTGGGCTCCTCACTCCCTTTCCTTGAAGTGGGAATTCCTTCTCCAAGTTTGAGTCAACCAGGAGATGGCGCTGTGACCCGCCGTCGCCGGAGAGCTGGGCGGAAGTGGAGAGCGGGATCGCCCGGAACGGAGCGGCAGTTTCGCGGTGCGCGTGCGCATACCTCCACATCCGGGCACCGCCGTCAAGCAGCATCCCCCCCCCCCCCACCAAGCCTCCACCCCAGCCGACGGGAAGCGGAAGTGAGTCCTGGGTAGCCTCGTGTCTCTTAGCAACGCCCAGGATCACCTGATGGAACCAGCTGACTCCGGTGCGGGGAGGCTCAGTGGGCGGCCGTGACTGGAGCGGTGGTGGCTTCCAGGATCGCCCGGCGGACGACCGAAGCCCGACAGTCCTCGTCAGCATGTCGGGCAAAGACCGAATTGAGATCTTTCCGTCGCGGATGTAAGTCAGAGATGGGACAAGCGGGGCTTCCTTCTCGAAGGTTCGGAAAAGGCGGCCCGCAGCGCGTTTCCCTGGTCCTTGGGCCGACCCCGAGCTCTCCTCCAGGCTCTCGGGAGAGGAGTGGGCGCCGGGCTGCCCTCGGCACTTTGCGTCTGTGATTCGGACAGGAAGACGCGGCCGGACCGTTGTCTGGACCCGTTCATCGCCCGGTTCGGGCTTGGGCAGACCTTTCTGGCGCCGAGCCCTGGGTGTTCGCGGGGGTCTTCAGAAAAGTTCAGGGGGAAATGCGTGGTATGAAAGAAGTTCGGCAGGGTTTTTTTTTTTTTTTTTTTTTGGTACCAAAACCTCTTTTCATTTAATTTTCCGCTAGTCTTTTCCGAATGACGACACCGTCGTCCCCTCTTGCCCTCAGGGGCACACCAGTTTAGAGGAGAAAGGATAAGGCGTGGAGATGTGGTGCCTGACGCACTTGGAGAAGGGAGGTGCAAAATTGTCTCGGGAGCCCAGTGGGGCGCTGCCCTTGCACGGACGGCGGACCCTTTCTTCGTTCTCCGGGATGGCCACCCAGTGGCACCTGCCCGTGTGTGTGACACCTCATCCCAGTGGAAAGGGGGCTTCTGCCCGACCCGATGGGGGAGGGAACCCAAGCATGCGTGCACAGAAGGTCCCCAAAGCGGCTTGGAATGAACCCGAGTGGGGGAGGCGGCTCATATCTGGGGGTCTGCCTTTCTTAGCGCTGGAGGTATTTGGCAGGTGTGTGTCCTCAGGTGCACCCAGTAGCTGAGGAGAGCTGTATGCGTGTCCTGTGTTTCCTTTCTCTCTCGTCCTATATTATTTCCTCCGAGAATGTGAGAATGCTCAAAGTAAAACAGTTATTATATTCAAACTCCAGACTCCCCCAATTACTGTCTTGTGCCAGGATAACTACAGCCCTTGTTAAGAGTTACCTTTGCCTGGTGCCGTTGAGACCAGGCCGAAGGCAAGCTGGCGTGGAGAACGGCAGAGGGCAGAGCCTGTAATAAGGAGTACTCTTGGGAGAGTGAGACCTAGAGAAGCAAACTCTGCTGTGTCTTTGAACTGTCCCTGGCTGCCTGCTGAAAGGCTTGCCCAAGTGAAGCCAGAGCTGCCAGGAGGGGTCGTGGTGGCACAGCGCAGTAAAGCTGCTGCCTGAGGCGTCACGTCCCAGCTGCTCCACTTCCGCCCTAGCTCCCTGGTAATGTGCCTCGGAATATGGCAGAAGATGGCCCACGTGGTTGGGTCCCTAGCACCCACTAGGAGAGCCAGAGGGTTCCAGGCTCCTGACTGTTGTGGCCTTTGTGGCCTGCCTTCTCTCCTTCAAATAAATAAAAATAAATCTGTAAACAATAAAAGCCTGTCGGGAGGGTGCACTGCTCATTTTAGTCTACATCTGGCTGTTAGATCCTTGATTTCCCATTCTCAGATCTGCAGCAAAGGGCTTGGTGAGCAGCTGTGACTGGGTGAGGACCTGAGAGCCCTTGTTGGCACGTAAGCATCAGGTTTATATGTTGGATTATTCAAAAGGCAGAGAGGGAGGAAGAATGAGAGATCTGCACCTGTTCATTGCGCTGTCAGCGGTGGTGGGGGAAGTGGGGACTCGCCTGCACTCTGGAGGACTGACTCCTAACTTATAACTGCTGGCTAGCACGCGGACCTGGCTGCTTATATCCCTCAGTCATCAGAAGGGTAGCATTCATTTCTTGTCCTTATTACTTGGAAAGTAAGAAGGAGAAGTGGATGTTTTCGGACTTAGACAAGGTAACTGGTTTTGGAAGGAGAGAGTACCGGCTTTACCGGAGAGGAATCGAGGTGCAGGAAGCCCGTGTCTCCCACGGCCCGGCAGCAGTTTCTGTGTCATGTAGTCAGATGTTGTTGATTCAGCTGGAAAAAGTCGTCGTCCTGGCGGAAGCGCAGGCTCTGTGGCTTTGAGCAGCTCTGATTAGTGTACGAGAACAGGATTTTAAAATCCTAAACTGTAAAAGATTTCTGTCTCTGTCTTTCTCTCTCTTTCACAAACTCTAATGCTGCCTTTCAAATAAGTACATCTTTTAAAAAGGAAGATCCTAAGTAGAAATAGGTATTTAGCTTAGAGATTAGCATCCAGATTCAAACTCTGCGTTCCATATCCAGCTCCGACCAGCTCTCTGTCGGCGCCGGCTCTGGCAGTGACTGGGTCCTTGCCCCTCAGTGAGAACCTGGATTGAGTTTCTGGCTTCGAGCTTTAACCCGAATCAGTTATGGGTGTCCAAAGCATTTTGTCTCTTTTTCTGCCTCTCAAAAGCAAGAAAACAAACCATAAACTACAAGTAAACTTTGGTAACAGGGCTAAAGAGATTCCTAGACTAGAAAATAAACCAGTGATTTCTGTTTTGTAAACAGTTCCATATTGTATTATCATCATCTGCCATGTTCTCTTCACCCAACTAAATACCAGAGAGAACAAAACGATTGACAGTGGCAGCAAAAGAGGCGTGAAGGAGGGGTTCACGTGGTGGTGCAGTGGGTTCCAGTTCCAGCCCAGATCCAGCTCCCTGTTAAAACACCTGGGAAAGCAATGAAGGGCTTGGGCTCCTCCATCCGAAGGGAAGCCTGAATGGAATTCTGGGCTCTGGGTGCCTTTGGCCTGGCCCAGCCCAGCTGATGTGGGCTTTTGGAGAGCAAGATTGTGTCTGTAACTCAGCCTTTGGAAAAAATATTCCTTTTAGTCTAAATGCGTGAATGATTTGCAATTAACAGAGGTTAACTACATGTTTTGTTGCATATTATTAGCCCTAAGTGATTTGCAAAGACATTTAGAGTATCATGACTTAGGAAATTTAAATCAGTATGGTACATTCAGTTTTATCAACCAGTTCAGCGTATACTATAAGCTTCCTGTAATCTGCAGCATAGGATTTAATTTAAATATGGTTCAACGCTTTGAGCCCCAGTTCTGGTATTTAGTGTCCACAGTGACCACGGTCAGTGTACACATTGGGGTAGCTGGCTCCTGCTTGGGCTGGAACGGAACCAGCTTCGCTTGATTACATCTCTGCAAAGGCTGATGAGTGTCAACTGTTGCCAGCCAGTATTCCGAATCAGTGCTGTTCTGCTGCTGTTGTCCTTAGGGGTAGCATACGGTTGGGGTACAATGGACCTAGCCATGTTAAAGTTTGTTTGATCCTGAGGCAGGTCACTGGAGTTAGAAGTCTAGTTTTCAGGGTTGGCATTGTGGTACAACATGTTTAGTCACCTGTGGTTCCGTCATCCTATGTCCGGTTGAGTCCCAGCTGCTCCCCTCCAGTCCAGCTCCCTCCTAATGTATCTGACAAGACAGCGGAAGATGGTGCAAGTGTTTGGGCCCGTGCCTGCCATGTGGGAGACCCTCCTGGCTTTGGCCTGGTCCATCCAGGCCGTTGCAGCCATTTGGGGAGTGAACCAGTAGGTGGAAAATTTTTCACTGTGTCTCTCTCCTTCTCTGTACAACTTTTAAATCAGATTTTGAAATAAAACAAAAGGAAATCTTCCTGTCCTGTCTTCACTGATGGTGAGAATGTTACTCTACTTTTTTGGGTCTAATGCTTAAGATCTTTTCTAGTTATAGAGTTGTTTCAGTAATGTTAGTCATGTGATAATAGGCTTCAGTATGTATAACAAGCCATTGGCCAGTGCCTGTGAGGTGGGTGCTGGGTCCCTGAGCCCTGAAGGAAGGGGGTCTGGTGGAGCTTGGGTCATTTGGCCAGGACCCTCAGCCCCCCTATAAGGTGAGTGCTCGGCTGCTCTCCCAGGCCACAGGCAGGGAGCTGGATGGGAAGCCGGACTGCTGGAATTAGAACTGGCATCCAAATGGGATGAGGACTTCAGCCACTAGGCGGCACAGTTTTTTTTTAAGATAGTGCTTGGGTTACCTGTAAGCCTGTATTAGATTGCCCGGGGTTGAGACCCTGCTTGCTTCTGATCCAGCTTCCTGCTGAAGTATGTTCTGGGAAGCAACAGGTGATGGCTTTAGTACTTAGTACTTGAGTGCCGGCTGCCGCAGTTGAACTTCAGGTTCCTGGTTTCAGCCTGGCCCAGCCTAGCTGTTGTGGGTATTGAGGGAGTAAACCAGCAGGTGAAAGCTAGTCTCTTTGTCTTTTCTTCTCTTTCAGCCAGGAGCCTGGGACTCCATCTGGGTCTCCTATCCCATGGGAACATGCTTTCCTAGGCTATTAGCAGAGAGCTGGACAGGGAATGGAGCAACTGGGACTTGAACCTCTGTCCATACGGGGTGCTGGTGTCACGGGCAGTGGCTTAATCCACTACATCACAAATTGATTTGTTTTTATCTTAATATACCTAAACCATTACTTAGCATTATTTTCAATTAGAAAGCAAATAAGTACTTGAACTATACTGATGTTTATAAAATAAGTTTCCTGATTATGTTTATTATGATTTATTACTCAGTGCAGATAATTTAATGCAGGATCGTTTCTGTTGTAAGTAAATAAAGAACAGCCATGGTAGAAAGCCTCTGTCGCTGCAACTGCTGTGTATTCTCACTCTCACCACCTCGAAGACTAAATTAAGATATTTTTGTGTCCCTTAAGCACAGTGACTGTATGAGAATAAATGCCTTTACGTGTTTGCATAGGGCACAGACCATCATGAAGGCACGATTAAAAGGAGCACAGACGGGCCGAAACCTGCTGAAGAAGAAGTCTGACGCGCTGACTCTGCGATTTCGACAAATCCTGAAGAAGATAATAGAGGTAGCATGGACATGGCTCACAGCGGGACTTATCTCTGGTTTGGTTTTTTAGGTTTATTTTATTTATTTGAAAGGCAGACTGCCGGGGCATGGAAGGACAGAGAAGAGGAGCTCTTCCATCCACTGGTTCGCCCCTGAAATGGCCGCAAGCAGCAGGTCTGGGTTAGGCTGAAGCCAGGAGCCTGGGACATGAGCTGGGTCTTCCAGTTGGGTGGCAGAGGCCGGTGCGCAGGGCCGTCCTCTGCTGCTGTCCAAGGTGCTCCAGTGCGGAGCTGGGTTGGAAAGCAGAACAACTGGGACTCGAACTGGCATTCTGATGCAGGATTCAGTGTTGTAGGTAGAGACCTACCTACTGCGCCACGAGGCCAGCCCCACCGGCATTTATTTCAGAAATATCAAATAAGGAAAATCCAGCATGGCTTTTGGTATTTTCTTTTTCCTGAAAAAAATTACTCATCTAACGAAATGATTTGAAATGTGGAGAGACAGCCAGAAAAGTTAGTCCATCTGGTGCTTCGTTCTCCCAATGCCTGCAGCAGGCAGCTAGGCCGGGCTGAGGCCACAGACTGTGCCTGGCCTGGCCAGAGTTCATGGACATGCTGACCCCCCCGGTGTGTGTCTTAGCACCCAGGTACTCCAGTGTGAAAGTGAGGGTCCTGCTGATGGCTCAACTACTTCTCATTTTCCTTTTCGTGATTTTAGTTAATCACCAGGATTCTGTACAAAAGTTAAAATACGTTGAAGTGTAACACATTTTAGACCCGAGCCAATCTGAAACCAGGAGCCTCATCTGGGTCTCCCATGGGCTTTGAGCCGTCCTCGACCACTTTCCCAGGCCGTAAGCAGAGAGCTGGATGGAAAGCAGGGCCACTGGGATTAGAACTGGTGCCCATATAGGATCCCAGCCTGTGCAAGGTGAGGACCTTAGCTGCTGGGCCACCTCACCGGGTCCCTTTTTGTAGATTTTTAAAGAGCTTTTAAAGATGTGTGTGAGAGACAGACTTAACAGAGAGAGACATAGACAGAGATCTTCCTTTTGCTGTTCTGTTCCGTCTCCCACATGGGTGGCGGGGCACAAGCGTTGGGCCCATCATCTGCTGCCTTCCAAGACGCCTGTGCAGGGGTGGATCTGAAGCAGAGGTGCAAAGATGCCCAGGTCAGAAGCTGCAGCTGAACCTGCTGTGCCTCAACGCCAGCTCCTTATTGATTTTCTTGTTGAATGTTGGCCATTTTTTTTTTTTTGGCAAAAATTCTATATAAAAGTATTCAAAATTCTTTATGTAGTGTCTGGCTTATGTGTAAAATGCTGAATAGGTATTCTGTATAGCTTATCTTCTGACATTTTTCAGGAAAGCTGTCTTAATTTTGGCTTGATCAAACCTGTTAGTCATGGCACAGTCTGAAGAAATTATACTTTTTTCTTAAGGTGTTATCTGTAATATTATGTCTGGATTTAAAAAATTATTTAAAGAAATTAATTTGATGAAATCAGAAATAAGTAAGCCCTTCAATAAATTCAGTTTTCTATATCTTAATGTGCTTATTCTAATGGCATAATAAAACTCATGATTTTGTAGCATTGCTAGTGATCTTAACCAAATTATTCATAAATTGAAGTTTTTATTTGTTTATTGTTAAATACTTACATATACATCTAGCATAAAATAGTTGTGCTGTTAACCAAACCTTACTTGATATGATTTTTCCCTATAAAAATCTTGGTTGAAACTATTGGTTCATGCTTTTTCAGACTAAAATGTTGATGGGTGAAGTGATGAGAGAAGCTGCCTTTTCATTAGCTGAGGCCAAATTCACAGCAGGAGACTTCAGGTAAGAAGAATAAATTCTGTTTTTTTTTTAAAAAGTGCTTTCAGGGTCCTAATTTTTCATTTTAAAAATAATTTTAATTTAGTTTAGTTTATTTGAAAGGTAAATTCAGAGGGATGGAGTCCAAAGGTCTTCTGCTCTCTGGCTCTGTATCCACATGGCGCAGTAGCCAGGGCCAAGCCCGGGAACTTCCTCCTGGCCTCCTGTGGGTGGCAGGGCCCGAGCACCTTGGCCATCTCCTGCTTTCCCAGGCGTGTTGGCAGGGGGCTGCAGAGGTGGGGAGCTGCTGGGACTTGACCCAGCACCCATGGGCGATGTTACGGTAGTAGCTTAATAACCTGTTCTGTCACAGCACCAGACCCCATACTTTTCATTTAAAGAAACTTTTTAAGTTAAAATTATGTAAGTATAAAATAAATCAATACTCGGAGGCTTCAAAAAGTTCATAGGAAATACAAATTTTTATGTTTGATGAGAAAGGCAGGTAGAGAGAGAGCTTCAGATTCCTGCAGTAGCTGGGACTTGGGCCAGGCTGACTCTGCAAGCCAGGAACACAGTCTCATGTCGGTGGCAGGGATGTGAATGCCTGAGGACCTTGGTCACTGCCTCCAGCGTGCTCATTAGCAGGAAGTTGGAATACAGACACAGGCAGGACTAGAACCCAGACCCTCCCGTGTGGATGTGGTATTCTGTATAGCCTCTTCATTGCTGTGCCACATGCCGGTTCCACGTACTTCGGCTTCTCAGCTGCCTGAGCAGGAGCTGGATCAGAAACAGGCAGCTAGGATGCGAGCCTGTGCTTCAGTATTGACATGCAGGCTACTAAGTGGCAGTTAAACTTGCTGCGTCACAGTGCCCGCCTCTCTGCAGGATACATTTCTGAGAATGGAATAGATTATTTAAAAGGCACAGGCTTATGGGTTGCCGTATCAATATGCATTGTATAGCACATAGCATGTTAAATGGTTTGGATGGAGCAGGCTTTAGGTGTCACACGTCAGAGCGTATGGGATCATTTCCAGTTCTGAGCCCTGAATGTAGCTGATGATGCTGGTTGGAGCAGCAGCAGCACCTGTCACAGTGCCTTGGGTTCAAGTCCTGGCTCCACTCCCTGTTCCAACTTCCTGCTAATGTCATTCTGTGAGGCAGCTGAGGTGTGTCCAGTACCTGGATTCCTGCCCCCAGTTATGTTCCCTGCTGCTGGTTATGGTCCCAGCTAGTGTGAGCATTTGAGGGGTGAACCAACAGATGGGAGCTCTTGTCTCCCTTTCTCTCAAATAAACATTTAAAAAAGATGATTTACAGGTGGCTATGTCAACTTAGCTGTTATATGAGTCTGCAGAACATTTTGTGAGGCAGTTAAGGCAAACACACTATTCTTAGTTGAAGTTAATTGCCTTCCTGGAGTGACATGGCAGAAATTGTTTTCAAGCCTTTGGTTTTCCCAAAGACATGATGCTCCCATTCTTAGGTTGTTTCCTAGGAGTTCTGGGTGGTGGCCTTACAGTCCAAGGAGCACGTGGCCAGCTGAAGTTAGTAGACTTTTGATTTTTGCCAATGCTGGTAGGATAGCTGCTCGCACTATCAGCTACTCACACTGACTTCAGTAGGGGGAGGAAATCAGTAATAGTGTGTGAGTGGTGGTATGTGGTTGTGCTTAAGGGTACTGATCGTATGGGCACAGGTGGAGTCAGTCATAAGAAGGTTATCTGAACAATCGAGTAGCAAACCTAGAGGGAACATTTTTCTGCAAAAATGTTAGCAGAATTAGAATCTGCCGTCACATCCCTACACCAGCTGTCTGGAAGTACAAGCTGTCTGCCCCCTTTGGAGTCCGCGTTGTCTTAAAGGCCTTTGACAGTTGTTCCGTGCTCTCTGGGGCCCTCTTCTGGCTCCAGTGCATTTCTTCTGTGATAAAAGATTGTCAAGACATACTTAAATTGTGACTTCTCAATGTTGAAACTATCCCGTGTGTCCTTGTAGAATTATTTCTAAAACTACATCTAAATAAAGGCTTTCTTTTTCTTCAGCACCACAGTTATCCAAAATGTAAATAAAGCCCAGGTGAAGATTCGGGCAAAGAAAGATAATGTAGCAGGTAACTTTTCAACTTTTTAGAACTCTTGGAGGAGAAAAAGTGACGTTTAAAATGATCCTCTTTAGACAGCAAGATCCTGGTGTGCCTGTGACTTGACATGTTAAAGAGGTCCTCGTTACCCAGGGTAGTTTGACTTTGGGATTGAAATGAACACTTAGGAAGTTAGATTCCCGGCTCATTCTCTGAAACCAGTTGTAATTCTTGACTTTTGAGTATTTGATGAACACAAACAGCACTTGATGGCCGTGTTGATTACCGCACGCATGTTTTGCTTTTCGCAGGTGTTACTCTGCCGGTATTTGAGCATTACCACGAAGGCACTGACAGTGAGTGTGGAAGTTCTCTGTTTGTCAGTCTGCTTCCCAGGCGCTCGTTTGCTCTTTTACTCTGGACAGTGGTGCTAGACAAACCCCAGAGTTCAGAAGTTCTGGTGTTAGAAGCTCTTTTCGTAGGAGTTACCAGTGTGTCAAAAAGGTCTTAGGGTAGAAAATCATAAAATATTATATCGTCTTACATTTTACTTTGACTTAGAAATGTCAACATATTGCCATTGGCCATTCTAAAAATAAAAGGGCTTTCCTTTTTTATGAGCCCCAAACTAGTCTTCCATACTGTCTTTCTGCATAAATACATTCATAGTGTATTATTTGAAACTTAACAGTTTTAGCTTCTGTGAAGTGGAATAAAATCCTAGCGACTATGATACTGTGAATGGTGACAATTTCTAGGTATTTGTATCTTGCATCCAATGTTTTTTTTAGATTGTCTTACCCATTCCATTGCTAATGACAGCGTTTTCTGGGTTATACACATGGTTGTTATCTCCTAGATAAAGTAACTTTTTTTCATAGAAAACAGTATTCTGGCACTCATTTCACTGGGTCATGTAATTCCTAATTAAATTGTATATAGAATGTTAAGTATTGCTCATATAAAGAGTAGAGCACACTAAAGAACTGCCCCTTAATAGTGCCATTGTACATTGTCCATGCAGAAGGGACAAAGAGCGTTGACAGATTTCAGCCAGCCAGTGAAATCCAGTGAAATGGAGGTTGGTTTAGAAGTTGTCCTTTAGTTAGGATTACAATAGTGTGTGTTGTGTGGAAACATGATCCTGCAGTGCTAGGGGAGGGTGGTGGGCTCTAATGGGATTAGTGAATTTGCCTTAATATGTTTGTTGGCATTCTGATTCTTTGGGGGAATTTTGTGGGGAAACACTGACTCTAATTACGAATGTCGTGCGACTGGTTCTTCCAGGTTATGAACTCACTGGTTTAGCCAGAGGTGGGGAACAGTTGGCCAAATTAAAGAGGAATTATGCCAAAGCAGTGGAATTACTGGTGGAACTAGCTTCTCTGCAGGTGAGTCCCAGGCACGGCCAGATGCCCTGCGGCTTGATTTCTGAGGATTAAGTGAAGAGATTGAGGTCTTGCATCAGATCCCACTGCACTGTGGATCGTCTCTGAACTGTTTCCATGATCCATGGGAAAAAATTACATTTTTATTTCTGAAATGTTGACTTCACCATTATCCCTTTTTTATTTTTAATAAAATGTACATAGTGCCGTCAGTTTATACTATGTGTCATTCTCTGCCGGAAGAGAACAGCAGAAGGCGATACTAAGTTGGAAAGCAAACCAGCATGGTTTGTGCAGGAGAGCCCCTCTCCCCTTGTGACTAGTTAAAATGTAAGGTACCAATGCATGATTCGCCTCCTGCCATTTTTGTGTTTTTTTAGCCTGAAGTAAATAAATTATAATAATATTGGAATAAGTATTAGCTCAGCAGAAATACCAAGTTTGCTTTTCAGACATGTGGAAAAGAAGTTTTTTTAAAGGTTTGTTTCCATTTGAAGGATTTTTATATTTCTTATAAATTTTATTTGAAAGGTAGTTCCAGGGATATCTTCCATCTGCTAGTTCACTCCCTGGATGGTCACAGTGGCTGGAGTTGGGCTAGTCTGAAGCCAGGAGCCAAGAATTTCTTGCTGGTCTCCCATGTGAGTGCAGGAACCAAAGGACTTGAGCCATCCTTTCTGCTTTCCCAGACTATTAGCAGGGAGTTCTCCCAGCCCACTTTCTGCAGGTAGAGTGTTAGCTTCCTTATGCCATGGCGCCAGGAGCCAGGAGCAGCTTCTTGGTCTCCCACGCAGGTGCAGGAGCCCAAGGCTTTGGGCCGTCCTCAGCTGCTTTCATAGGCCATGAGCGGAGCTGCCGGGACACAAACTGGCATCCATTTGGGATCTCAGCCATTTTAAGGTGAGGATTTAGCCAATAGGTTATCATACAAGGCCCTCAATTTTTTTTTCCTTAAAGACAAATATTTAATGGACTAACTTGAAAGGCAGAGAAAGAGACCCTGACTTTTCTCCGCAGTGTCTGGGAGCTCAGTCGGTGTCCCCCATGGGTGGCGGGAACCCAGGTGTTTGAGCCATCACCACTGTCTCCCTTGCTGCACACCAGGGCTTGAACCCAGGCGCTCTGAGCTGGGATCTTCATCCCTGCGCCTCGAACCCAGCCCTCCCTGTTTTGTGCTGTTGCAGTAAGGGTGGAGCCAGCTGAGGAGAAAGTGATCAGAAGGACTTTGGGCTTGCATTGCTAATGTGTGCTCTTTCCTCAGACTTCCTTTGTCACTCTGGATGAAGCGATTAAGATAACCAACAGGCGTGTCAATGCCATTGAGCATGGTGAGTGAGCTGCCAGGCACTTGGTTCCTTCACCTGCCCATCCCTTGCACTTGCTAGGTGGGCACAGTGTGATGAAGGTCAACAGGAGAACAAGGCAATGCCCCCTGCACAGTGCACAGAGGTGTGTCAGTGCAGAAATGTATCATATGACGTATGTACGTGATATATGATGTGGGGGAGTTGGGAAGTGATGAGTTCAAAGTTTCAGAATGTTTTATTTCTGCTTATTCATTCAGTCAGTAATAAGAACATTAGTGTTTTCTTTAGTTCTTTGTAACAGTCCAGAGCTTTCTAAGATTTTATTTGAAAGGCAGAGTTGGAGAGGGACAGATTTTCCATCCACTGGTTATATTCCCCAAGTAGCTGTAACAGCTGGGGCTCGGACAGGCTGAGCCAGGAGCCAGGAACAACTGCTGGGTCTCCCACATGAGTGAAGGGGCCCAAGGTCTTGTGTTGCAGGGAGCTGGGTCGGAAGTGGAGTAACCAGGTCTCAAACTGGTGTCCCTGTGGCTTGCAGCTTCACAGGAGGTGGCTTACCTTCTATGCCACAACACCAGCCCTGATAAATCTTCCTTAATCAATATTTAGCTTGACATTGTTTTCCTTTAGGCCTTTTGCTTTGATTTTTAGAAACAAAATCTTCCATTTAATTTATTTATTATCTCTTATTTTGTTCTGTTAAAAACGATAATTTCTTTTAAAGATTTATTTTTATTATTTTTTATTGGAAAGGCAGATATACAGAGAGGAGAGATAGAGAGGAAGATCTTCCGTCCGATGATTCACTCCCCAAGCGAGCGCAACGGCCGATACTATGCCGATCCGAAGCCAGGAGCCTCTTCCGGGTCTCCCACGCGGGTGCAGGGTCCCAAAGCTTTGGGCCGTCCTCGACTGCTTTCCCAGGCCACAGGCAGGGAGCTGGAAGGGAAGCGGGGCTGCTGGGATAGAACTGGCGCCCATATGGGATCCCGGGCGTGCTAGGCGAGGACCTTAACCACTTGTGCCACCGCGCCAGGCCCTAAAAACGACTATTTCTACAATTATTTTTACTTAAGAAAACATTCAGCTTTAAAGTAAGAAGCAAAATGAAGGACAAATGATTTTGATTAGGTTTCTATTTAGTGTTAGAAGTCCTTATTTCTTAGAACTCCAAATCCTATTTCTCTCCTACTTGATAGTGTCCATGCCTATAAATGGAATTGCAAGCAAAACAAAATGCTCTCAAGAACTTTACATTATACAAGCAAATTAGGCAGATTCCATAGAGCCCAATGGCTGACATGAAACTATTTAATAATTTTCTCTGCTATATTTAAGAAAATATTTTCATTTTCATTTTATTTAAAAGGCAGAGAAATAGTTTTCCTGCGCTACAGGCTCCATTACAGGTGTCCATGTGGCTGACAGGGATCCGGTCCTCAACGTGTGCTGCTTTCCAGGGCCAGCACCAGCACCCCCGCCCCCGATGTGTGAGCTTCCCCACACCCATTCCTGCTCTGTTTTTAGACAGTGCTTGGCTGTCATTATATTTAAAATACCCCTTGCAGTGCATTGTCATATATTCATATCTAGTTCGAGCTTGTTTCTGTGTGTTCCAGTACATTATCTGCATAGAGAAGACACCATCGGGGCACATACAGAAGTACCCGATTATTACTTTTGGCTGGTTAGGTGATGCTGGCTTTTCATTTTTCTTTGTGGTTTTTTTCCCCTCTAAGATCTGTGCATTAATTGTACGTTGATTTTAGAGTATTATACAAGTAAGCACTGGTAATTTGAAAACAGGGAGTTTGAAGTTCTCACATAATGTATTTTTTTTTAATCTCTAGTCATCATTCCTCGGATTGAACGTACCCTTGCTTATATCATCACAGAGCTGGACGAGAGAGAACGAGAAGAGTTCTATAGGTTTGTTGAAATTAGAAAGTTATTAATTTTGTTGGTTCATATTCAAAAAGCTTCACTTGCGATGATTAGCGATTGTCGTATGTTTGTCAACTTTTATTTCATTCTGGTAAATTAGAAGCAAGAAACACAGGAGTCTCCTGTATCCTGGTTTCACTTTCTGTGGTTTGTTACCTGCAGTCAACCTGGGTCTGAAAATACTAAATGGAAAATTTGAGGAATAAATTCATTTTCAGTTGTGAGCCGTCTGCATGAGTAGTATGATGAATCTCATGCCATCGCACTGTCCTGCCTGCTGTGTGGGGTGTGAACCATGCCTTTGTCCAGTATATCCACGCAGTATGCTACCTGCCCTTTAGTTAACAGTGGGCCTGGGTATCGGATCAACTGTGGTAGCATCAAAGTGTGTGTGTTCAGGTAACCCTTACTTTAATAAATAAGAGTCCTGGTGTACAATAGCTATGTTGGCATTTCAGATATGCCAGAGGGAAGCTGTAAGGTGCTTTCTGACTGTACTGACTTTTGATCTGAAGTTGGCTGAATCCTGAAGTTGGATGTGAAATCCTATATATGTATATTGATGTACACAAAAGGACAAGGTTTGGAACCATCCTGTTTCAGGATTTCTCCTGGATCTTAGATCATAGTACTCATGCATAGGGAGTGAAGGAGAACTGTATTGTGGAAGCTGTGGAGACAAATCTAGGTCTTTTTAAATTTAATTCTTTTTATTTGAAAGACAGAGTACAGAGAAGACAGACAGATTTTCATCCAATGGTTCAGCCTCCAAATGGTTGCAAATGCCCACAGCTGAGCTGATCTGAAGCCAAGAGCTAGGAGCCTCCTCTGGGTCTCCTACATGGGTGTGGGGCTAAGGACTTCAGCCATTGTCTATTGCTTTCCCAGGTCCCATATGCAGAGAGCAGGATAGGAAGTGGAGCAGTGGGACACTAACTGGTACCCCTATGGGATGCTGGCACTACAAGTAGAAGATTAATATACTATGCCACCATGCCAGCCTCCAAATTCATGTCTTGTGTTGGACATGTACAGAAATGATTTATTATTTAAAACAAGGCTATAATTTAAAATTGGTGTATTTGGGAGAAAATATTTAGCCATTTTGCAAATACGTGTGACATGTTGAGTCATGCTCAGGAGGATGTATAATATACTTGAGGACATAACCAGATGCCGTAAATTACACTATTAGAGAATTAAGAGAGATGGTAAATTTCTGTGAATTGGCTATTAGGAGTTGGAACTTGTAGGTATAAGTATTAAATCAGGGGCATGCCTGGATTGATACACCCGGCTTAGAGGAGTGGATGATATGTGCTAACAAAGAAGCCAGTGTTCGCCTTCGAGTGCCACTTCAGTATGGCTTATGACCTTGAGCATGCAGGTGACTTAATTTTGTCCTCCAGTGACCTTCAGGGTTGTGATGGTAGAAATTTTGGCCCATGTCTGAATACTCAGAATCAGTTATTAGCTTAGTGTATAAAACGGATTATCAGTAAATTACTGAAACTGAGTGTAGTGGATATACCAGTCTTTGTTCTGATTCTGTTTATTGTCCTTGTTAAAAACCAGTTGCAGTTAAATCTTCTCAGGACAGAAACAGCACTCAGAAGATTGCCCCCTTTAATCCTGCAGGTTAAAGAAAATACAGGAGAAGAAAAAAATCCTCAAGGAAAAATCCGAGAAAGACTTGGAACAACGGCGAGCAGCCGGAGAGGTGATGGAGCCTGCCAATCTGCTGGCTGAGGAGAAGGACGAGGATCTTCTGTTTGAATAACCTTTTCTGCCTTGGTTCTTTGAGGAACCTAACAGTGACTGTGTGAATTTGTGGTGCATAGGCTGTTTTCTTTCTGGCCCAAGAATTCCACTGATTGTAAAATCTTCCCAGATGTTCATTTATGTGATTGCTCTTGCAAACTCTTCAGTGCATCTGTTTATCACAAGTGGCTGAAATTTGTAACTGTTAGTAACTTAAGAGTTTACTCTGCTGCAGAGTCACTTGTTCCATTTATCTGTTACACGTGATTTGCTTGCCAGGCATTGTAGGAAGCGCCCTTAAGAAACATTAGTGTTCTCAGGCCAGCTACTGTACAGCTTCCTCCATTCCTGCTCGCTGGTGAACCTTGGCACTGTTGCTGTGTCGCCTTGGCGCTTCTCTCCTCAAGCTTTTGTGACAACCTTCACTCACTTTTCCTTGCATGACAGGTGTTTATCTTGTCTATCAGCGGAGTGGTTCTGCCAATTTAAATGTGACAATGGTATGGAATAAAGTGATTTAAAAACAAATCATTCTTTTCCAAATTATTTACAGCTGCGGAGTAAATCACATCGCCGTACTGAGGTTAGTGCACAGTATTGCTTATTCCGTATCTGAGACTCTGGGTAATTACAGGCTTGTCTTGGAGGATTGATAGGAAATTCTGTTGCTGTGTGCAGAATGAAATATCACATCCTATTGTAAATTTAGTTGTAACTGTAAATCCAGCAACTAAGTTCACAAATATTTAAAAACCAAATAAACAGAAATGTATAATATCTAATCCTCCCCCAAACCTGGTGAGGTGTAAATTGTGACCTATTTTATGGAAACTTTTGAGGAGACTGAGGCTTGAAAGGGTCAAATAGCACAGCTAAAATGTGAATCAAGCTTTATATATATGTATTGCTTTTCCAGGAAGCAAAATTAGTTTGAAGGGAAATGGGGTAGGAAACCATATTATTTAGCTTTTTTTTCACTGAAATTCCATGTTCACTTTAAAGTATGGGTCAAAGGACTCTAGATTTAAAACAAAAATACAGATTTATGTATTTGAAAGACAAATTTAGCGGGAGAGGCAGAGAGAATATTCTACTACTCATATGGCCTTAAAGGCCAAGGGTAGGTCAGGGCGAAGCTAGGTGTTTCACCTGGGTCATCGCTTGGGCCATCTGAGTACATTAGCAGGGATCTGGATTGGAAACGCAGCAGCCAGGCCCAGAACTAGCTCACATACAGGATGCCGTTGTGGCAGGGAGCAGCTTAACTCACTGGGCCATAGTAGTGGCCCCAGCCTGTTTTGTTTTTTAAAACGCTGATACTACCTTTGGTCAAACTACCTGGTTTTTTTTTTTCCCTTAAGATTTATTTTTATTGGAAAGGCAGATCAGATTTATGGAGACAGATCTTCTGTTTCCTCCCCAAATGACACAATGGCTGGTGCCAAGCTGGTCAGAAGCCAGAAGCCAAGAACTTAGAAGAGTCTCCCATGCAAGTGCAGGGTCCCAAGGCATTAGACTGTCCTCTACTGCTTTCCCAGGCCCAAAGTGGGGAGCTAAATGGGAAATAAAGAAGCCAGGACATGAACTGGCACCCATATGGGATGGATCTTGGAGCTTGCAAGGTGAGAATTTAGCTGTTGAACCATCGCAGTAGGCCCCAAACTACCTATCAGAAAGTGCAATGATCTTGTGGTTTAACATTTGTTAAAATCAAATCGAGAAAAAACAGTGGACAGGTACTCTGACACGTTCATTTACGAATAGAAAGCTGCACGGGGGGTGGTAGCTGATGCATACGGCAAGTCAGATACACAGGAAGTTGTGACTGCAGCAGCCAGAGTGGAGCCGATTGGGTCTCCTATACAGATACAGGGTCCCAAGGCTTTGGGCCGTCCTTGACTGCTTTCCCAGGCCACAAGCAGGGAGCTAGACGAGAACCAGAGCCCATGTGGGATCCTGGCATATTCAAGCCGAGAACTTTAGCCACCAGGCCACCGTGCTGGGCCCCAGCTCTCCTCTAATGTGCCAGAAAAAACCAGCAGAAGATGGCCCAAATATTTCAGCCCTTGAGCCCATGTGGGACAACTGGATGAAGTTCCTGTCTTTATTGTGGCCCTTTAAAGGGAACTGAACCAGTGGATGATGGAAGAAAGTGATTCTTTAATTCTGCATTTCAAAAAATAAATCTAAAAAAAAAAAAACAAAACAGGAAGTACTTATATCTGTGCTAAGAGACACATTAAAAACAAAGATTGTTTTCTACTCAGTGCAGTGGTCTTGCTTCTGCCAAAATGTGACAAGGAGAGTGGTCTTCCTGTGTAGACATCCAGCGTGAGAGGACAAACTGCAAAAGTACTCAGTGGGTTTAAAACTTAAAATATATTTTCACTTTGTATTTGTACAATACAGCATGCAGTATGACATGTCAACAAGAGCGCAGATGCAGGACAAGATAGTACGCCAGGAAATACCAATGGATGCCAGAAAGGTTACCTGTAGTAAGGCTAAATCCCTGGTTTGTATTTCCCACATTCACAAAATTACATTCAAATCATTTCTATCACTACTTATTCCTTAGAACATGAAAAAAGGGGGAAAAAAATCCAGACATTAGATTTTCATAGAAAGCAAATCTGGATTAGGGTAAATGTTAATTCTCCTTCCATTTCTCCTGACTTATAAAAATGTAGAAATGAAACTATTTCCTTAGTTGGATATTCCAAGCACATGTCTTTAGCTATTGGCATTTCTATAAGTAGTTAGTGACTTCCTGCATAAGGGTCTCCAACGAAAACCACGGAGGGACAGGAAATGGAATGGTCAGAGCTGCTGCACAGCTAGGCATACAGCAAGGGCTTCTCCCTATTTTTTGAGGACGGCAGCTATTGTCACTTTAGGGACTGTGTTGAGTATCAGCACAGCACAACCGCATCACTTAAAAGTTTGGGGTATAGATATTTCTTCTCTGCAAGGGAAAGACAGAAATATAGGATTTTAGTGACCCTGAAAATGTTACCATGTAATTCCCAAAAGCACAGCATGGCAGGGGCGTTGGTGTAAAACCCATTTACTAAAGCCATGTGTCTGAGTCTTGACAGCATTTGGCCCTAGTAAATCCCCTCTGGCCTCTGCGGCGTGACAGCCACTCCTTGCTAACACCTGAGTCCTCGCTCTAACATGGACTGTCAGTGCTGGAAGCACTTGTTACACTTAACCCTGACCCTTCACTCCTGGGGGTGAGGTAACCTAGAAAACTCTCAAGATTCCATGCTGAGTATATTCCTTCGTTTTCAAAACCAAACACTGGTGTGTGTGACCTTCGCATTGTTCTGGGAGTGTTTGAAGAGACCATATATATTGTGGTATTTCCTTCAACCTACGTTACTTTCTACTTAAGGAAATATTTCAAATAAGACTTATTTCCTTAGCCAACTTAAGAAGCTATGCAGAGGAGAACAATAAAGGGCAACATAAAAACTGCTTACATTTGTTCAAATAAAATTACATGGAAAAGAAAAAACACAGAAACATCACACTGCAACAAAGTACTCATTAAAAACAACAGCGTATGTTACAATAAGCGACAAGTCAGTATACTCCAGTGTTTAGCTCTGAGAGCAGGAAATGCTGTATCTAAAATTCTAAAAGTAAAATCCAAGACATTCACATTTGAGGTTTATCACACATCACACTATCCTTAGAGGTCTGAAAAGACCCAAAGTTAACTTTCCATGCCAGTTGTCATGCAGAGCTAGAGACAGTACAAAAGTCCCATTAGCTGAAGCATTGCTTTTATGATGTAGCAACTGCTCTGTTCTGATCATCACAGGCACACCACCTTGGGTTAAAAACCCACTTCCATGTGTTGGAGAACTGTCCCCCGCCCCCCGCAATGTTTTCCTAAAATATTCAAGTGACTTTCAGGTCAACCTTTCCTTCTGATCTCAAAGTCAGCTGTCACAGTCTTTATCTAAGATATATATAAAATTTTATTCCAATGCTGAACATGTGTTATCAATGACCATTTATGTATTAAATATTAGTATACAGTACAGCAGCTATATTCAACATAATTCCAGTTTGTTAGATAGTATAGCCATAGACTCACATGATACTCATGTATAAAAACACAAAAACTGTCAAATGTGCTATGTCTGCCCATGTACATAAAAACTTTGCCATCATTCATGTGAATGTATGCCATTCATAAAAATGCAATAGCCTACTGTACTATGCCAATCAAAGAAAGGAAGTGAGGCTATAAAATCACCATAATAATTTAAGGAAAAAATCAAATTAGAAAAAAATCAGCATAATTTATATGCTTTTAACTACATTACAGTCTATTATAATCTATTGCTTAAGCAGTCTAATCCACTAAGCTGGAGCTATAAAATGCTGGTGCTTCTAACGGAATGCTTTTTTGTTTTTTGTCAGTTAAAAGACAATGCAAATGAACAAAGTAGCTCCAAACCAAAGGCACCGTTTTGTTACTTCTTCAGGAAAGTAGTTTTGATGACAAAACTAGTCTCCTAAGCCAATACTGTTTTTGCCCAGTGCATACAAGCACAGTCCCTTCAAAATATTCCCATGAAGTTGTTTAAGTGTTAAATAACTCCAGTATTCATAAGTGTATGAGACATGTTTCTGTACACAAACACAAGTTTTTCATAGAAATATGGTCAAGCAGAAAATACTTTGTTAGATGGAAACAAGAACTTTTAACAGAGTAAAATGGAACTGTTCTGTTGAAAGCATCCACTTAGAATCACAAAAAGAGACAAGGACCTTCAAAGCCATTTATGGAGAAAAAAGGCTGTGTACAAACTGCCAAGGGGACTTTCTTTTCACTAGTTTAAACGATTAACACCAGGTCTACAGCTTATACTGCCTCCTCCCAACACATCTTCAGTCCTGCTGAAGTCTCAGCGTCTTCCTACTGACAGTTTGCCAGGTCAAATCCAGTTTTGTCACAGAGTAGATGTTCCTTCACCTCAGCCAAGTGGATGGCACCCACTGAGGTTCAGTATCAAGTTTGTTGATCAACCTAAGCAGTTCCTGATAGGCTTTGTCCAGGTCAGAATTCACGATCGCTGTGTCAAAGTAATGGCCATTGTTCTGCTCCATCTCTCTTGTCTTCTCAATGATTTCTCTCAGCTCTTCAGGCTGCAAAGACAGAATAAAATGTGTGAGGTAATTCCTGACCTTCCCCTAACACAGGATGAGTCAGAGCCAAAAAACAAAGCTGATCTTACATCAAGTCACTTTCCTTCTGTCTTCCAAACCAGCCTCACTAACTCCTCTCCAGTTCCACGAGAACCACACTTGGTCTCCTTTGAACAGCACGAGCAAGACTTACATTCTGAAGTATCTTAGATATACTGCCGTTCAGGTTTTCATCTATTTCTATCTACTTTGAGCATGCAGACTGAATTCCCTACAAACATTTGTTTCCCAACACTTTAGGGCATAATAAGTTAATAATTTCTTTCCAAGAAGAACACCTATTGTAACCTGAGATGAAACTTGTGCTTGGCGTGAGGGCTCACAGCATCATATGCTCTTGGATCTTGTATAAAACTGCCCTTCTGTCTCCAGCAGAGTTAGGGAAAAGACTAAGGGAATAAAGAGGATTAAAGAATCCTTCCATTAAGACATTGTTAGTTAGCCCAAAGTTTAATAAGCTGAAATATAGTGTTGGGGAAAATACTCAGTGTAATACATTAAACTGCTGTTGTTTCAAAATACAAAGGAAGGCTTTTAAATGAAAAAAAAAAAAAGGTAACAGAATTTAGGAAACCTATACAGGGTCCTTTAAAACACAGAGTAAAGGAAAGGGCTGATTCATAGACACAATCTGGTGGCAAGGAATTCCTGATTATGAGGTACAGGAGTTAAGAAGGTGAAATAGCTCCAAAATCACAGCTATTAAGGAAGATAACTCATTTAACTCATGACCAAATGTCTCAGCCATAAGTCAAATGCTGGATGGACCCACAGCACAAAACAATTTCGATCTTTCAATAGAACTTCTCTCAAAGTAAGAAAATCAAGAGCGGACAATCCTGGCCTGTCCTGAGGCAGTTCCTTGTGTGGCGCTCTAATTTTCATTCTGGAATGTTGTGTATCTGAATGTGGCACACAGAATCTTTTGTTCCCTTTCTGGGGCACTACTTCACTATTATAACTGGACACACTGTGACATTTTTGCTATAAAATTCATGTCTACTCAAAGCTCAGGAAGCATTCTAAGTTAAGAACATTCTAAGACCCCACAGGAAAGTTTGTGGTGCTAGACACAATCTAGGAGCCACGAACACCATCTGGGTGCCCATCTTTGGCTGTGTTCTCAGGCGCATTACTGAAAGCTGTCTGAGCCAGTGATTCAACAGGAGTGCTGGTGTTGTGAGTTCTAACTCACTGCTTTATGACAGTGAAAACAGACTGACTTGATCCAGCAATTCTATTTCTGGTCATGTATTGGAGAGTAAGAGAAGCACGGGTCCACCAAAACAACACATGAATGTTTGGAGCAGGTTTACTCATACTAACTTCAAAATGGGGAAAAAATCCAAATGATTTTCAACTGCAGAATATATGAACAAATGGTGGTATATTTACATCATGACATATTTCTCAGCATCTCAGCATTCTACGTGGCTCCATTATACGAACTTCTGTTCCCAGACAAAAATCAGCCTGACAGAAGCAGACTGGCAGTTCCCGGGGGGATTTCAGAGGTTTTAACTTCAAAGGTAAGAAGGCTTGATTAGAATGTTAGAAATGTTTTAAATCTTCATTGTTATGTTGGCTACATATGTCAAAACTCACTAAATTACAGAATCTGAGTTAAACAACGAAAGCACATTCTAAAAAAAATAAATTACTGAGTTCTACTAGAAAATCAAGCATTTTGTACATCATTAAAATATTCGGATGGTGCTCAAAGTCCGCATTTTTTAAAAAACAAAAACAACACTTTTCTAGAGTTTGCTTAATTTAGGACGCCCAATCCAAAATGATAAAGTAGCTAAAATTCCTTGAGAACACTGCTTCACACGCTTTGGCCAATGTTTACAGCCCTTGGTGTAACAGCAGGTCCTCGCTGGAAGATAACAGCCCCAAAGAAGTAGGTGTGTATGATATAAAATACAAAATCAGACAGAAAAGCAGAATGGAGTCCTACTTGGTCTCTAGCACACATCTTTTCCTCGGCTCAGTCATGGTGTTTCTGGTCTACCTAACCAGTTACTGGACAGTAACTTCTACAGTACCAATCGTATTTCCCTTATAGTTTGATCCTCCTCAAGAACAGCAAAGAACCTTTTTCCTGTTTTTTAATCATCCAAACTCTGACCCTTTCTTATGAATTTGCAAGCACATTACAAAAGAGGGGAAAAAAGCGGGGGGGAGGGGGTGTTGGCGTGACAGCGTAGCCGTTAAGGTCCTCCTTGAACGCGCGAGGATCCCATATGGGCGCCAGTTCTAATCCTGGCAGCTCTGCTTCCCATCCAGCTCCCTGCTTGTGGTCTGTGAAAGCAGTTGAGGATGGCACCTGTGTAGGAGTTCTGGAAGGGCTCCTGGCTCCTAGCTTCAGATTGGTGCAGCTCCCGCTGTTGTGGCCACTTCCTCTCTGTCTCTCCTCCTCTCTGCATGTATCTGACTTTGCAATAAAAATAAAAATAAATCTTAAAAAAAGGAAGTGAAGCACAACTTTTTCTAAGATTTATTTACTGAAAAAGTTGAATGACTGAGAGACAGAGGGAAGGGCAGAGAGAGATCTTCTCCCTGCTGGTTCACTCTCCAGATGGCAGGCCGAATCTGAGAGTCTGGAACTTTGCCCATATGGATGATAAGGGCCCACTTAATTGGGTCATCTTCTACTACTTTTCCATACACAATGTAGGGAGCGGACAGGAGTCAAACAATTGGGGCTCAGTGTGATGGCACAGAGGCTAAATCCTCGCCTTGCACATGCCAGGATCCCATATGGGTACTGGTTCATGTCCCAGCACCTTCACTTCCCATCCAGCTCCCTGCTTGTGGCCTGGGAAAGCAGTTGAACATGGCCCTAGGCCTTGGGACCCTGCACCCACGTGGGAGACCCAGAAGAGGCTCCTGGCTGCTGATCGGCTCTGTGAGTAAACCAGGGGATGGGAGACCTTTCTCTGGAAATGTCATAGACCCACATGAAGAAGATTAAAGAAGGATCCTGCTTCAAAGATGACCACACACTGGCAGGTAACAACAGGGAATGTGTGGGGAGGAGGACTCCTGCTTCGGAGAGCTGCAACAGTCTAGCCAGTGGCAGGCAGGCAGGGCATTTTGGGATAAGTGCTGCTGCACAAACTGTAATGAGGTGGAAAGCCCCAGGTGATGTAAGGTTTAGGCACCGTGAGACTGATCAGGGTGGAGTGCTGCTTTTGGTGCAGCAGAAGAGCCTGTACCATTACCTTTGGATTCCTGCCCTCTTTGGCCAATAATGCTCTAAGTCTTTCTTGTGAAGGAGGTGCAATGAAGATAATATATGGTTTTAAATCTGAATTCCGGAGGGTCTTCAATGACTGCAAAGAAAAAATATTTGGATTTTAAAAACAACTTGCATCATTTAAATACTTATCAGTAATACAATAATGTCATTTGAAAAAATCTGCTGGGCCCGGTGCCGTGGCCTAGTGGCTAAAGTCTTTGCCCTGCATGTGCCAGGATCTCATATGGGCACCAGTTCTTATCCCAGCAATCCTGCTTCCCATCCAGCTCCCTGCTTGTGGCCTGGGAAAGCAGTTGAGGACAGCCCAAAGCCTTGGGGCCCTGTACCTGCGTTGGAGACCTGGAAGAGGCTCCTGGCTCCTGGCTTTGGATCACCGTAGCTCTGACAGTTGTGGCCACTCGGGGAGTGAATCATCAGATGGAAGATCTTCCTCTCTGTCTCTCTTCCTCTCTGTATATCTGACTTTCCAATAAAAATAATCTTCAAACAAACAGACAAAGACTCTGCCAATGAGTGTTCCCACTTCAAAATAAGCTCATTCTTTTTTTTCTTTTTTTTTTTTTTAAGATTTATTTGTTTCTATTGAAAAGTCAGATATATTTGTTTTTATTGCAAAGTCAGAGATGGAGAGAAAGCTCTTCCATCTGATGACTCACTCCCCAAGTGGCAGGGAGCTGAGCCGATCTTTGAAGCCAGGAGCCAGGAGCTTCTTCCGGGTCTCCATGTGGGTGCAGGGTCCCAAAGCTTTGGGCCATCCTTGACTGCTTTCCCAGGCCACAGGCAAGGAGCTGGATGGGAAGCAGGGCTGCCGGGATATGAACTGGTGCCCATATGGGATCCTGGCATGTGCAAAGTGAAGACTAACCACTAGGCTATTGCACCGAACACACAAGTTCATTATTTTAACATACAAACATTCACTGCAGGATGATTATTGTATAGCTGCACATAAACATGCAAAGAAAATTCTGAAGGAGAACACATGAGAAAAGGTAGACTCTCAATTAGGAGATGGATTTGGATTTATTACTCCAGCACAGCATCACCCAACTGAAGTGCCCCCACCAAAATGGAGACTGTAGGGAAATGGCCTTATTGTTTACAATGTTAAGATGATTTAAACAGTATGCTTAACTACTCTGAGTTCTTTGGTAAACTGTCGGCACAAATAATACAAACAATTCTGAAAGAATTTAGTATAATCATTTATAATTCTCTTAAATCTTTAAAATTGAAATGAGGGATCGTCAGGAGTTCATGGAAATGTGTATTATGGGAAGTATGCATAGGTTTAAAAAAATGCACCAAAGTAATTATCTTTCAATTCCACTTCATGACATTTTTGAAGTCTTTTCACAGTACAACCTAAGTGTTTCCATTCACTTAAAACAATTCAGAGTTAATTCTCCATTATGTACATCTATTCTTTCAAATTGCTATTCATTGATTCAGAAGGCAGACAGGTATCCCCATCTGCTGGCTCACTTCCCGAAACCCTGCAACAGCCAAGACTTGGCCAGGCCACAGTCTGGAGCCTGGAACCCAAGCTGCCTAGCAGTGAGGCAAAAGCTGGAGGTGCATGAGCAGAAAGCTGACATTAGGGTGGAGATGAGACGCAGGTTTCCGTAGCGGCACCTTAGTCTCTATGAAACCCCTGCCTCGTACACCTCTTTGATGACGACTGATGTGTCACCAGAGCTGACAGCAGCAGCAGATTCTATCTACGACAGCCAAGTTCCATGTAACAGCTATTTCCTTTCACAAGAAACATAATCTGAAAACTCCACAATTTCTAAAATTATTTGATCTTTCTAAATACAAGCACTGGCTAATGATTTTAGGTTTTGCTTAGTCTGTTTCATCATTTACTAGCAGTGAGCACTCGTTGTGATATTCTGAGTATTCACAATGGCATGCGAAGCTGTAGGAATGACTTTCGCATGTTCTAATCTCCTGGGTCAGTGGCAGAGAAGAGAAATTCTCTTATAGGCTTTAAAATACTTCAAGTATTACCAGTAGTAACCAGTACAACAGTTACCGTATTTTTTTTTCTTTTATAGATTTATTTGAAAGGTAGAGTAGATGGAGGGAGGGACAACGAGCTCTCCCATCAGCTGGACCAATCTCCAAAGGAGCAGGACAGCCAGGGCTGGGCCAGGCTGAAGCCGGAGGGGCAGGGGTCCACATATTAGGGTCACCTTGTGCTGCCTTCTTGGCATATTAGCTAAAAGTTGGTTTGGAAGCAGAGTGGCCATGACAAGAACCTGCATTCCAGCACTGGATGCTGGCGTTACTGCAGCCTGACCTGCTGCATGAGCAACACTAATGCTTTCTGTATTTTTAGTTTCAGAAAATATATGCATTACTGTACATAAGAATGTATTATGTTCCCCGTGAGGAAACAGACTTAGCAACCTGTCTGATTTCAAACGGCACATCAGTCAGAAAGTAATCAAGAATGTAATTATGTTTTACTGGTACTAGACAGAAATTATTCCCACTAATTATTTTGCCCTCTAAATTTCACATCCTAGACCCAAGTTTTAGCTTTACCTGTGTACGAAGACTTAAAAGGCATATCTTCCCAGAGTTGATTACTTGCCGTACAGAATCTATGCTGGTTCCATACAAATTTTTCTCAAATTCACCATGTTCAATGAACTTCCCAGCTGCTATGTCTGCCTCAAATGCTTGCCGTGAAACAAAGTGATAATCTCTACCAGCTACTTCATGGTCTCGCCTACTCCGAGTTGTATCTAGGCAAACAAAATCAGAAAAAGACAATGGGCATGAATCAGAGTGAGGACAGGGGATCATTTCGCTAGCTGGAATTATTCTGTAACACAGATTATGAAATGCTGAACAGAGGAAATGTTAAAAGAGTTCATGTGTTTACACTGCTTTTATTTCCAGAATGAGAAAAAAAATGTGTTTGTATAAGTTAACAGCTACATTTAATTACACCAATACATTTTTAAAAATTAAGCTGAGAAGCAAAGATAGAGCTACGATCAGCTGTTTCACTTCCTGAAGGCCCAAGAGCCAAGAACTTAATCCTAGATTCCCAAGCAGCCGGCAGGGACTTGATGTCTATTATTGTGTAAAGCCAGGACTGGAACTTAGGCATTTTGAAGAGACGTATGTTATTTGAAAGGCAGAGTTTCTGAGACAAAAAGGGAGAGACAGAGGTCTTTCATCTGCTGGTTCCTTCCCAAAATAAGTGCACTGGCCAGGGCTGAGCTGGGGAGGAGCCAGAAGCCAGGGAACAGGAGCTTCTTTGAGTTCTACAAGGGAGGGACCTAAGCACGTGGGCTACCCTCCACTGCTTTTCCAGGCACATCAGCAGGGAGCTAGATTAGAAATGGAGCACCCAGGACTTGAACTAGCACTCATGGGATGCTGGTATGCAGGCAGTAGCTTAAACTGCTATAACACCAACCCCCCAAATCCAGGCACTTTGCTAAGGTATGGAAGTGTCTGACTGGCCCCTTAACTATTACGACAAACACCCTCCCTTAATTTTTTAACATACTGTTTTTTTTTTTTTAAAGATTTATTTATTTATTGGAAAGTCAGATATACAGAGAGGAGGAGAGACAGTGAGGAAAATCGTATGTCCGATGATTCACTCCCCAAGTAAGCACATCGGCTCGTGCTGCCCTGATCTGAAGCCAGGAGCCAGGAACTTCTTCCAGGTCTCCCACACGTGGGTGCAGGGTCCCAAGGCTTTGGGCCGTCCTCGACTGCTTTCCCAGGCCACAAGCAGGGAGCTGGATGGGAAGTGGAGCTGCTGGGATTAGAACCGGCGTCTATATGGGATCCCGGGGCATTCAAGGCAAGGACTTTAGCCGCTAGGCCACGGCACCGGACCCAGCATATTGTATTTTATGTTTCTAGTTTAAAATACTTACATTTAAAACACCCCTAGTCATTTTTTCCTAGTCTATTTTCATAAAATTAGCTATTAAAACTACATTTACATATCTAAAACAAAACCTCTGTTTGCAGATTATGTCTCAGCTTCTATCTTCCCCATCAGTTTGAAAAATCAGGAGCTGCTTCTCTACTGGGCAGGGAGTTATAAGGGATGCAAACTGAAATTCATTTTGAAAATAAGCATTAGCACACTGTGAGAAAAACCTAATCTCAATAGCAACTATTTATAAAACTGTCAAATATCTGATTAAATAAACTTCACCGACAACCGTATTTTCATGAAATGTTTCCCAAACTTACGAGGAACTGCAGATGCAAAGCGGTCCTTTTCTTTGTTCATGAGCCTCTGACGCAATTCATTCTGGCCACAGTTGTGCGGGCCAATTAAAATGATAGGTCTTTTCCTATTTGCTGGTTGGTGATAAAGTGACATTTCCTCATAAGTTAAGATTTCCTCATTGTCATAATCTTTGGAAAAGAAAAAGTGAGTTACTGATTTATATAACAAAGACACAAAAACAGATCTTGCCTTCCTCGCTCCCTCTGCCATTGTGAAGTATGATTTTGTGCCACTAACAATGCTTCCTTTTTGGATTGCAATGGTAATAAATGGTAGTACTGTATCATGAGCATTTTCCCGTGTCATTACAGCATTCCCAGAACACTAGGACAATGAATCTGACATTATACTACTAAATCTTCTGAGAATTATTTTTACAACTTACCATGTTTCATACTATATTTGAATATCTAATATAATTGCACAAATCATTTTTGTAAAATGCAGAGACTTATATTCTGCTTAAGAAGATTATTTTAAAGCTCAGAGAGAATGCACACGCTGAGTACAGCAGCTGACACAGGTACTTCTACACTGGCCACAACCAGCAGGATCAGAAAAGCTGAGAGACTCTTCTGTAGCTGTACAAGTTGCAAACAGGCGAGATGATGCTATTCATTCTTTATGTTTACTTTACCTTGGAACACCATCCTAGAGTTATGACTCAAGATGAAGTTATGAAGGGTGAGGTAACATTTCTAGAGCCCATTATCCAGATGAAATCAGACTTGTTAAGTGGTCAGAAAAAGGCCGTAACTAGCAGCCTGCCATGCCCACAGTCACGTTACTTCACCTGCCCGGGAAGGGTCCCTGACACAGCGGACTGAGAGCACAGCACCAACTCAGGCTTGTCAGTGCCCAGCACAGAGCCTGGCCCAGCACAGGCATTCAAAGCTGTTGTTAACAGGCTCCTTGGAGAGCACCGACAAATCTAAAGCCTACAGACATACACGCTAAGTCTGCAAATCAAAATGTTACCACAGTCTGACTCTAAATATTGGAAAAGACTCATGCATTTTTCAGAAAAATGCATGCCGAGAAAGGAATTTCATATGCTGCTTATTAAAGTGGCTCAAATCTAAGATTTAGTTTTGTGTGCACTATTTTAACCATCTGTAACATTTTATCTTCATTAGTGTATAAAAAACTGGGAGTGGCAGAAACTGCTTGACCAGAGTAGGTACCCAATGTAAGGCAATAGCCATCTGTTGGGTTCAGCAGATTTGTCACTGGGAATAGAAGCCCAGGAGGATCAAGGACTCCTTTTTAATTTTAGAAACCAACCAAAATAAGAGCATTCCCTGCTCAGCCAGGAGTGCGCTGGCTTTGTCATGTGCATTATGTTCATGCTGAAAGCATTTGTTTTTTTAACAATTTGTTGGAAGCATGTTAATTTTACAGGCTTAAACACAATTTTATACTACATACATATGCACTAAAAACAAGTGCTTTAATTAATTTTATAGCATTTTCCCTGAAATTCAGCACTCTGCATTACTCCTAAGACTCCAGAAGAAAATCTCTACAATTTTCCCAAGCACATGTGACATTAATGGACAAATGGAATTAGATACAAAAGTTTATGACAATATTAGTTTAATATCCTTCAAGTATTAGATTTACATTCCTTCAGATATAATTCCACCTATACCTAAAAGTAGAACTTACCATCATTTTTATTGGCATTATATAAGACCTTTTTCCTTTTCTTCTTATTTTTCTTTGCACACCATAGCTTTCCTGTTGAGCAATTAAAAATAATACCTATTATTATGTTTCCTTGAACAAAGCTACTCAAATTGTTTAATTTTTTTTTACAAATGCATTTTTTCATTTTATTTGAAAGAGACATACACACACACACACCCTTCCCATGGGCGGGTTCACTCCCTAAATGCCAACAACAGCTATTGTCAGAGCAGGCAAGGGTTTCATCCTAGCCTCCTGCCGAGGTGGCAGGGTGCCAAGTCCTGAGCCATCTCTGCTGCTTCTCAGCGTGCACACTAGCAGGGCGCTGGATCACAAGTCAGGCTGAGCCTCAAACCCAAGGCCCTTCAATGTAGGACACAGGTGTTTCAAGTGCAGAACCAATGCTTGTCCGATGTACTGACTCTTACTACACTGCTCACAGAACTATTTTTCAGCATAATTTTCCCTTAACTGCATATTCGAAATCATGTTTAATATCTGAATCTTTAAAATGATTGGTTTATTTAAAAGCCTGCGTGACAGAGAGATTAACTGATTGATCCATCCTCCATCTGCTGGTTCAATGCCCCTTGGCTGAAGCCAGAAGCCTGGAACTCCTCTGGGTCTCCCACATGGCTGACAGGGCTCAAACACTTGGGCCATCCTTTATTGCTCTCCCAGGTGCCTTAAACAAGAAGCTGATTTGAAGTAAAGTTGCATTCCAACCAGTGGCTTACCCTGGTATACCATGCCAGCCTCATGGTCTTTTCTCTACAGTTCTAAGAAAATCAGTTTTCTCACATTATTTTTTCTACAAATTTATCTTTCTTAACAGTTCTGACATGCAAATTTAAACCTGATTGCAGATGAAAATTCCAGAATCCTCTTATTAAAGGCAAACATGTGTCTAACCTGATTTTTCTGGCTCTTTATCTTCTTCTATGGTTTGCTTCATGGCTTCCCTTTGTTGTTGAAAGCTCTTTCCTTCATGGTACGGAAAAAAAAGAAGGGCAAAATATTTAAAATAAAAAAGTATTTTTTCAGTCAAGGAGAAAACACTAGAAGGTAATTCTTCATTTACATTTCCTTCCAAATTCTTCTTTCACTGATGTATCCTCCAGTTGTTTACAGACTACTAAGTTTCAACTCTTTTCCATCAATCCTATTATATGCATTTTTGGAATATACATTATATATCAGAAAAGATAAATAAAAACCAATTGTACAAAACTTTAATAGCCAACTTTTTAGAAGCTCTGAGAGTTGGATTTTACAATGGTTGTCTTTAAAATTATCTCAAATCAGGCACACCAATTCTAAGCGCTGACTTTCCAAAGCAGTGAGTGAAATCATGTTTTATATTTCTAAGACACTATTCAACACACTCCTCATACTTACTATTAAATGTAGTCTGTTTTTATATACATGCATATATGTTCATGATTTTTACTTCTACCTTTTAGTAACCAATGATACAAATTAGGGGAAAACACATTTTTCCTCACAGGATTCAGAATTTAATTTTAAAGTTTCTGACCTTCATCTTCTTCTCATACTTCTTTACCTTAAAATGTAATTTTTTTTTTCTGAATGACAATTTTTTTTCCAGAAAATTTCATTTTACTCTCAAGTCTTTCAAATTCAAGATAGGAATTTTTAAAATTTAATAAAATTCTATGTATGCTGCTATAATCTGTAGAATTTAGCACCTTTCATAAGAGCACAAGCAAAAACACTGAGTTTAAAACATAAAAATCATTAAAAGAAACCTGGCTATCTCCTATGGTCTACATTGCATTCCCAGTATGACTAGAGGGAATTTTAATTCAACATTTTAACTAAATATTTCATAGTGTTTAAAACAATAATAACTCACATAGCAAAATGTTTACAAGCATTAGTTATGTACAACTGTGGCTTTTTTTTCATGGTATGAACTTTGTAGGTCATTTTGCAACACATGAGACATTACTAGGAAACAGACATAATGATCTCTGAAAAAATCTTTCTAATTCTAATAGAAAAACATTGTCAAAGTAACATGGGTCCATTTAGTGGTTCTTTAAAAACAGGAATGTTATCACTGAACTCCATACATATTTTAAAAAGCCAATTAATCAACACTGGTTCTATAGTTATGGACTAAGGCTGGTATGCAAGAAGGTACCAAATTGATATTTGGTACAAGCATTATACAGAAGCAAAGACAACTGTCCAACATGGCAAGACTCCAGAGCAACGTCCTATAAGACAAGCTACTATGAAGACTCAAAGGTTACAGTGTCCACTGTAGCCCAGTTAGCTTTCCTGAAAGTGTAACTGACTAAAGACAAAAATTTGCTTCTAGCTTTGAGATTTCACTCCCTACTGCCTGTCACTGCTGAGGATGGGCTAGGCTGAAGGCAGGAGCACTGAACTGAATCTGAGTCTCCCGCCCAGGTGGCAGTGCCCCAGGTCTTCAAGCTGTCACCTGCTGTTTTCTAGGATGCACAACAGGACAAAACTGGATCAGAAGCAGAGTGGGGCCTCAAATGCAGACACTAATTAATAGGATCTTGGTGTCCCAAGCAATGCCTCCACCACTGTGCAAACAACTGTCCTGACTAGGATTTTACAGTCAAAGATACAGGGACTTCTGTGATTTTACATACATAAAGAATAAGCATAAATTTCATGTTGAAATTTTTTTGCCACCAGAAAAATCCCCATGATACATTCAGTGGTAACACTTTTCTTTTGATCACAATTTCATTTCAGGTACAACATAAAAATACATGAGAAGTAGCAATACGAAAGTGTGTGAAACACCACATCTATGTGAAGAAGTGCATTTTTTAGGCATGAGAAAATAATTTTTCCTTGTGAAGGCTTGCTTCTCAATACTTTTTAATATTTCTTACTACATGATCTTTTACCTGGAACAAGTCCAGCTAAAGGCTGGTTCTCTTCATCCCCCTCTCTGTAGGCTTGCCACCAGTTTGGGTCTTCTTGACTGATCACATGAAGGATATCCCCTTTTTGAAAAGACAGACCTAATTCTCGACATGGAACATAAGGGTCATCTGAGGGGTCATAGTCAAAATGAGCTTTCACATGGATCTAAAAAATAAAATAATAAAAAAATATTTTAAAAATGCAGTACAAAATACTGAGCAGATATACACTTAAATGTTAGGAATTTTTCATTAATGCAAAGAAATGATGAATTCAAAGAAGGGTGTTTAGGTAAGCAATAGTATTTGGGGGCAGTATTTGTCCAGGCTCATTTGTTCTCTTCTCTTTGATGACTGTGAAGAGAAATGATTTGATTTTTAGCAGCTAATAAGCTGGAATACACAAAGGTGCTCTAAGGGCTTGAGAGAAGCAGAAGAAAGGCACAGAAACTGCCTGTCATGTGAAAGCAATGACTCTGCACTAAGGTATGCAGCGTCTTCACCACTACCACCAAGAGAGACTTTGAACCTTGCTGTATCTCTTCATCTAAGCAGTGTCCGTTTCTGGGGCTGTGACAGTCTCCTGACTTCACTGTCAGTGCCAAAGTCTAAGTGTTTCTTTTGGAACAATAGGATTCAGTCACGCTAAATTGGTAATGTTACCTAAATGAATTTAATAATCAATTCCTTTTTTGGTACTGTATAGGCTTTGAATATTATTAATAGCTCAAATTAGTTTTGCTAATATGTTTTCATATATCAGAATAAATCAAGGAATTGTGCTGTGCTATTTTGCATTAAAGGCAGTTAAGAACTCACATAAATAGAAAGCTAAATTATTTCCCACGCCATTTCCTCCAATATGACTACACAAAATATAACCAGTACCTTTCTCCTAAGGTTTAAAGGGATGAATCTTTTCTAACTTTGCCATGTCTAATTTTTACATTACCTAGGTATGTGGTATTTCCAGTGTCTGTAAGATACTTTCATTAGTCTAATGAAATCTAACAAATATATGCAATAGCATTTCCAACCCACACAGGTTTAAACTGCAAAGTCAGGCTAAAAGAAACAGGCAATGCAATAATAACCTAAAAATTTGTAATTCTGAGGCCATTTCTATACAAATGGTTTTTAGTTTTCCTTAAGACTTTCATAAACATCATAATCTAGGCTGTGTATCCCACAGTAACAGACTAACACACACACACACACAAAAATGTTTATAGAATATTTTTTTTTTCTTTTTAAAAAAGATCTATTTATTTTATTAGAAAAGCAGACTTAGAGAGAGAGAGACAAAGAGAAAGATTGCCTGTCAGCTGCTTCACTCCTCAGTGGCCACAATGGCCAGAGCTGAGCCGTTCCCAATCCAGGAGCCATAAGCTGGTGATTCTTGAATGGGATACTGACTCTCTAAACGAGTTTGGTTTGTAAGAATTTCTTGTACTGCATGCAAAGTTAACCTGTACTTTCTATTCTTAGAAATACACCAGTGGAAGGTCACTCTCCCTCAAAAGCAGTCTGTTGTTTTTCTACTTCTTAGCTGTTTTACACTTATTAACAGAATGAATTTTACCTCAGTTTCACTGTTTACTGACACCTAGTCTTTTTTATTTCCTATTTATAGCATTTTTGAATTTTTTTTTAATTGGAAAAGCAGATTTACAGAAAAGAGGAGTAGCAAAAACATCTTCCATCCACTGATTGACTCCCCAGGTGGCTGCAACATCTGGAGCTGTGCTGATCCGAAGCCAGGAATCAGGAGCCAGGAGCTTCTTCCGGGTCTTTCATGTGAGTGCAGGATCCCAAGGCATTGGGCCATCCTCTGCTGTTTTCCCAAGCCACAAGCAGGGAGATAGATGGGAAGCGGAATAGCTGGGACACAAACTGGTGCCTATATGTGATCCTGAGCTTGCAAGGCAAGGATTTAGCCATTAGGCTACCACACTGGGCCTTGTACTTTTGAAATTCAAAAAAGCCATCTTAGAACACTTTTCCAGAAGCTATTATTTCATTCAGATTCTAGGCTGTTAGAACTTACAATGAATAGACATCTGTAATAGACTTTTATTACTTATAAGTGTGTTTTACCAAATTTCACTTAGTATATTTATTATTTTTGAGAACAGATTAGTCAATGTTTCAAGAGCTTAATAAGAAAATCTTCTATATGGGACCTGGTACGGTAGCCTGATGGGTAAAGTCTTTGCCTTGCATGTGCCAGGGTCCCTTATGGGCTCCAGTTCATGTCCCAGCTGCTCTACTTTCCTTGCAGCTCCTAGCTTGTGGAGTGGGAAAGGAAGTTGAGGACAATCCAAAGCCTTGGGACCCTGCACCCACATGGGTGCAGTAAGAAATTTCTGAAAGATATTGTAATTTAAATTTCTTCATAAAAAAAGAGGGAAAAAATACTATGCATCCTTTTGCAATAATCTTCATTAAGCAAATGCTGCATTTTTAAAGAAATAAATGCCATATAATCTTTTATCTTTCTCTCTCCTTCTCCCTCCTGTTTAAGCTATTTTATTTCTCATTTATGCTCCTGATACCATCTACTTTGAAGTCATAGTTTCCCATAAATTTTTAAAATATTTATTTATTTTTATTACAAGGTCAGATATAGAGAGAGGAGGAGAGACAGAGGAAGATCTTCCGTCCGATGGTTCACTCCCCAAGTGAGCGCAACGGCTGGGGCTGAGCAAATCTGAAGCCAGCAGCCAGGAGATTCTTCTGGGTCTCCCACGTGGGTGCAAGGTCCCAAGGCTTAGGGCCATGTTCGACTGCTTTCCCAGGCCACCAGCAGGGAGCCAGATGGGAAGCAGGGCCGCTGGGATTAGAACCTGCGACCATATGGGATCCCAGCGTGTGCAAGGCAAGGACCTTAACCATTACGCTATCGCTCCAGACCCATCCATAAATCTTAAAACAGATATTCCTTTCGTGTTTGGATTAAGCCTGGCTTTTATTCTGTATCAGCAGTGAAAAGCAAGGAAAAAAAAAAAAGAAAAAATGAGTTTTCCTTTAGAGAATTCAAAACTCTGCAGGAATAGTGGACAAAATTTGTCTTAATCTGACACTCATTCCCTACAGAGAGAAGTCATTTCTCAAGAGGATGGGTCATTACCAAGGTGTAAGTAAGGACATATTTCACTGCTCCCCTGTGTGCCTCTGTAGTTTGCAGAGCTACTCTTGAAGCTCAGGGTTTATTCACAGTAGAGAGATGTGGAAAGGCACAGCAGGCAGAAAATCAAGCTGTTTGAATTCAATGCCAAACTATTTCTTCATTCCCCCTCTACAAGGTACTATAAACAGAAGGAAAACTGTGGATCTAACATCAATGTTCCATAAAGATCGGGTGAAAAAATAGAAAATCATAGCCAAAAAACAAAACATGAGCTATTAAATATGAACTATTGAGAAAAAAATGAAAATCTCCTTTTTCAAACTGTTAAGATTTTCATAAAAGTTACAAATAAAAACAAACGCAACATCAGGCTTCCATGGTAATCTACGCTTTGAAAATCATTTTTTGAGCAGCATGAGACACAATTTATACACTGTACAAATAACCCACATATACATTTGTATGTTTCTCAGTGTATTCTCAGTTGTACAAAATAACTTTAGATCTCTTTTATCACTGCAATTACAAATCAATCTCATTTTCTCCTAAGGGACTCCTACTGCGCTTCCTGTCTCTACAGACTTATCCTAGACATTTCACGAAAATAACTAACCCATGGCCTGTTACAATTAGATTCCTTCTCTTAGCATATTTATATTTTAAAATTTTTAATTTTATTTCAAAGGCACAGTTAGAGAGGAGACACAGAGACCCTCAATCCACAGGCTCACTCTTCAAATGGCAACAATGGCTGGAGCTGGGCCAATCCAAAGCCAGGAGTCAGGAGCTTCTGGGTCCCCAATGTGTGTGAAGGGTCCAAGGACCTGGGCCATCCTCCACTGCTGTCCCAGGCCACAAGCAACAGCCCCAAGCATAATTTTGAAGGTATATTCATGTGGTAGCATGTATATATAATCAGGACACAAAATATTATATACACATAAAATCATCAGCTGGAGGGTTCTTGAACTACTCTTACTTTCTGGCTACTACATGAATAACGCTCCTCTGAGTAGTGCTCCAAGTCCTTGTAGAAATGGACAGAGTAACTTCAAAAAGTTCATGGAAATTATCTAATGTGAAAAAAGTACACAGAGTCCAAAACTTTTGCCACAAAAATACCTTTAAATCAATTTTTTCAAATGAATGTTTAGCAAAAGTGTCCTTTGTAAAAACACATTTCTCCCTACACAAAGTATATTTATATTGTATAGGCCCACTTATAAATTTTGGTGTTAGAAATCACTCAAATCTTTTCTAGTTTTTTTTTTAAAAAAGGTTCAGTTTATTACATTTGAAATTTTGTTAATTTATGTTTACTTAAATACAAACTGATGGACTTAGTTTTGTATCAGTGTAAGAAATATTCAGAATGCCATTTTAGATACAGGGAAGTAAACATAAGCCATAGAAAAATAAGTAAGGAACAAAAGGGAATTTCAAAGAAAAAAAATACTTACCACAGTTTCCTTGGCAGGAGGAGGTTTGATGTGCTGACTGGGAATCAGAACAAACGTCAAAGTACCATGCATATCAGACTGTAAGAGAAAGATCGGGCTATTTTAAAATCTGAATTTATTAAAATAATTCCATCACCTTATGGTCAAATATTCTACAAACTAGACTATACACGACCCCTTTGTAGAGTTAAAAAAAATCAGTAAAGATGAACCACTTTTTTTTTTAAATCAGGAAACACACCTAACTCTTGATGGTCTGTTATATCAGAATCAGCCTAGAATGTGGCATTCTGTGGTTCCAGGCCTTTGGGAGAAGCCATTGAGCCTATAAATCTTGGGGTTTGTTTTTATTCAGTGTACATTTAGGAAGATTCCACAATGGAGGGTTGAACTGTTTTAACAATTTTGAGTTATCTACTGTAAATAAAATACAGAAATTTAAAAATCGTGACCTAGATCAGCAAAGCAACACACATTTTCTCAGTCCCAGATGTGTTGTATCAGTCACTCTATTGTCTAACCACAAACAGTCTGCCAGCTTTTCTGTCTATTACCAGTACACCACTAACTGCCTTGTGCTGAAATCTCTGAATCATTGTAACTTCTGATATTGAAAAAGCAAAGATAAATTCAACCTATATTAAGCAGCCAACAAAAGAGAGCTAAAGTGATGATCAGTGGCAGTTTGGTCTACTGATGCAATAAATGGGCAGTTGGTGAAAAACAAAGCAAGAAAAAGAGCTGGTGGATGTTTTAGAATTTACAACTTAACAACCAACTCTAAGTAATTAAGAATACATGCCTGATTAGCAAAACTATAGACATACAAGGGGAATCAGGAGTGATCCTGACAACCTCTTAACAGGAGGTCATATGCACAGAGTAGATGGGAAACCACAAAGTGAAACAGGAGGACAGGAGGAGGCTTCTTTCTCAACCCTGGAGACTCCTGGATCCTCACCAAGGACTATCAGTATGGGAACCAAGGGCTATATCCCAACTGCCAAGGAGACCACTGGGAATTGGAGTGCCCTTGTAGGCCAAGCATTCTGAGGTCATCCACTCCCGTTCGGATCTCCCACATGGGATGGAAGATGCCCAGATCCTTTCTCACAGGATCCAAGGTCATCGGAACAACAGCTGGGAGCCCTGAGCGGTCCTCAGAAACAGAACAGTAAACTTCCTTCGGGACTAGGGAGAGTAGCTTCCTCTGGTCCTTACTTAGTTCCAACTTTGCATCCCTACCCCCTCTTGCAATGACCATCAGGGTCACTCTGAAGCCCCCCTCCCCCTCAAAAATTATTAGATTAGATAGACAATGACCAGTAAGGAAAGCTTAGAACCAGACAGGAAGTGGTCAGCTTGGACTCACATATACCTTACTAGGTAGGACACAAAGATTAGTTACTCCTCACTAAGGTATTGAAGATTTCTTTGCACACCCTTCTAAAACTGTCCTGCACTTCAACTGTTGACATATGCCTTGTTAGAGTTATAAGCCAGTTTGGAATATCCTAAAATTCGCCAAGTTCAGTAAAAATTATGCTTTAGTACTATAAACTGCTAAGTATAAAAATGAAAATAGACACGAGACAGCTGAATTGTACCCTATAGCCATTTTAAGGTGTATAGCAGCCAGCTGTGTATAAACTAAAATTGAAATGTCAATGAAGTAGTCACAGGATGTGGTTAAGAACTTGCATTTTCTAACATATTGGTCACTCAATACCATGTCAATTAACTCCATAATGTTGTAAATTGTTCTTGATATTATGTAGTGGTTTTTCATTGGACGAGATGATATTCTGCCAGCTGTGCTTCAGACTAGAGATGATCTTCCCAAGAAACTGTTGAACTTATCTGGACAATAAGATGCTGGACTCTATGCATGGTACATGCTTGCAATGAAGGATTCATGACTGGATATGAACTGTACTACTGTAACAAGGTGAAAGAATCCACCATGGGTGGAGGGCATGGGGAGGGGTTGGGGGAAGCCCAGGGCCTTTGAAACTGTCACATAAAATGAAATGAAATTAAAAAAAATACATGTTTGTTCTCTTGAGTTTATACCAACTGATCAAAAACTGTCCTTAAAAGATAACTTGAGGGCCCAGTGTGCTAGCCTGGTGGCTAAGGACTAGCTTGCTAAGCCACTATGTAGGCCCACTCTTCACAGTTATTTAAAAATGTTTCAAAAATAATTTATTATTCCAAAGCATAGTAACAACTTTAAAAGCACTACCAATTTTATTCTACCTGTGTCAACTTACCAATATGTCAAAAACCTCATTGACATCTTTCCCGCGAATTTCGATGCCATTAATCTCCAGAACTTCATCTCCTTCATGTAACAGACCACTCTTCTCTGCGGCACCACCTTTTACTATCCGGCTAATGATCACAGATTCCATTTCATTGCGAACTGTAGCACCCTAACAACAAAAACAAAAAAACAACATCTAATTTTATAATAAATATGCAGTTTTGATTATTCCCTCATCTTGGATTCTAACTTGTTCTATTCAACAATGCTAGTACTCAATAATCTTGAGGAAAAAATTACACAGAATTGTAACTGCAATCAGATTTGAAAGCTAAGTATTTTCTAACATTTTCTGCTTCAGAAACATTCCACTCACTAGAATTGTAAACTGAAGCGAACTTCTGAAGCATACAGCAGCAAAAGAATGTGCTTGCTTAAAAACAACACCTATAATTACATTTGTTCTCTATATGCCAGAGCCTATTCAACCATATTGCATTTTGGTGTGACTAGTGAAAATGACTTTTAACTTAAAAAAAAATTCAAAAAAATTTCAATATGATGTAGTGGTGAATACCAATCTGTTTATTCAGATGTTAACTATTATACCTGCATCCAATTTACATTAAAATATATTAAACATTAATATACAAATCTGGAGCACAAATAAAAATTGTTTGTTTAGACCCTGTAACTACAAGATAGAGTAAGGCAGACGAGAGGGTTTTTTGTTTGTTTGTTTGAACTTGAAAGGCAGAAGAATTACATGGAGACAGAGAGAAGAAAAGAAAGGATGTTGGGAGGGACAAAGAGAGAGAGGACGAGAAGTCTTCCATGTGCTGATTCATTCCCCAAACAGTCAGAAATGTGCCAGGCTGAAGCCAGGAGCCTTGGCTTCTTTTGGTTCTCCCATCCTCTGTTGCTTTCTCAGGCCATAAGCAGGTAGCTGAGTGGGAAGTGGAGCAACCAGAACACGAACCAGCACGGCACAGCAGGTGGAGACTTAGCTTACTACACCATGGCACTAGCCCCCAGAAAAGTTTTTAATATGTTTTCCTAAATATTCGTTTAAATTTTTTATTATTATAAAGATTTATTTTATTTTTATTGGAAAGTCAGATATACAGACAAGAGGCCACAAGCAGGGAGCTGGATGGGAAGTGGAGCTGCCAGGATCAGAACCAGTGACCATATGGGATTCCCAGCACGTTCGAGGTGAGGACTTTAGCTGCTAGGCCATGCCACTGGGCCTTCATTTAAAAATTTGATCATGATGTTCCCCATGTGCATTTTCAAGGATGGGGAGAAGGCCAAACTGGCTAAATTGTCTGTAAGATACATTTCTTATCCAATATACCATATTACTAAAAGTATAATAAAAGCCACCAAGATGCAAGATATTTCTCTGATAGTAATGAAATTAAAGAAAATAGACTAAGAAATTGAAGTTTCACATGTAAAAATACGAAAAAATTAAGGTATATTTTAAATTATATACATGTAATTGTGTCAAATGAATAAAAAGATGAGATTTTCTAATTATTAATTTTTAAAAGCGGAGAGAATGAAGTAAATTATTTATTCCTTTTTCCCTTATATGCAAATGCACTCTCATTTTGATAATATTATGTAAAAGGAAAGATGATCAACAAACTGTTCTCAATTGATAAGGAACATGGGCAAGAACACAAAATTCCAATAAATTAAAAGAGAAACACCACCAAGGATATGATGCGGTCTTCAGCAACCTGCTATACTTCAGATGCGTGTGTAGAAATAACCTCAGTAAGACATGTGCGGCACTTACCAAGGGAATATCACGAGCCTTTTCTATCCGCACTATCTTGACAGTCTCTCCTCCATACTGGCCGATGCTTTCATAAACTCTCTCCTCTGCAATGGGCTCCAGCTGCATCTCCTGCTCAGCAACTTTATCGTGGGCCAACAAAAGTGCCTGTTTCAAAGAAATCCATACCATCTGAAGTAACAATAGGATTTATTTCTATAAAGTCATTTAAATCCGGTCATACACATGGCATTCTAAACATTCAGTCTTTAAAACTGCTATAATTACTTTCATATCTAAATCTTTTTTCAAACTTACCAAGAACACATGCAATCTGGTATCTTAAATGTTTACTACATTTCATTAAAACAAAATCAGTCTAAAAAGCCTAAATACTAGATAATTAAAATATATGAAAAATATAATAACAAGAGGTAAATTTTTGTCCATATTTTTATTTACTGAAAGTATTTTGAAAGAGTTACAAGGTGGAAGGTGGCAGACAGACAGATCTTGCATCCACTGAGTCACTTCATAAACGGATGCAAAAGCCAGCTCTAAGCCAGGCTGAGGCCAGGAGACAGGAGCTTTTTCTGTATCCCAAGTGAGTGCCCTAGGACTTGGGCTGTCTTCCGCTGCTTTCCCCAGCACATTAGCAGAGAGCTGGCTTCGAAGCAGAGTAGCTGGAACTTGAACCAGTGCACATTTGGGATGTCGGCACTGCAGGTGGTAGCTTAACTAGCTATGCTACAATGCCAGCCCCTTTGTATTCTTAAAAACATTTATCCATTTATTTAAAAGGCAGTTTACAGAGTGAGACAGAGAGATAGACACTTCCGACTTTTTAAAGAAGAGCATTTGAAAAGATATTTTGCTTTTAAAAATAAAAATATACAACAATGAGTTATTTTCAGAGATGAAGTTGTAAACATGGAAATAAGCTACAGACTTTGTGGCACTGAGTTTCTTCTGAGCAGAACTGTACCCTGTGTCACTGTCCCAGCTACCTTGAATATGTGACCCAGCCTCCTGCTAACATGCCTGCGGGCATCGGATTAACACCGCCCAGGCAGGAGACCTGGCCGGAACATCCGGCTTCTGGTTTCAGCCTGGAACAGTCCTGCTGGTTGTGAGCATTTGGGGAGCAAATCAGGAGATGAAATCTCTTTCTCCTTGGCACTCTTTCAAATAAAGAAGTAAATCTTTAAGACAAAACAATGACAAAAACCCCAGATAATGTCTGAGGTCTGTACCAGTATGTCCATTTCCTACCTGAACATGTGGAGCACTCAACAAAGCCGTTAATTCTTGTCCTTCCTTCTGGTGAACTGGTTTCAAAACAGTTTGTACCTAAGAAAGAAAAAACACACCTCAATATTTTTGGTCCAGAATTAAGCTGCTTGTTTTTCTCAGCATATATCACAATGGCTGTCATTATGCTAATTGTCCCAGGGTCTTCCCTTAGAGGTGGCAGGGGTCCAAGTACTTTGGTCCTCTTCCGCTGCTTTCCCTGGCACACTAGCAGGGAGCTGAAACAAAAGTAGACTGGCTGGGACTCAATTTGGCACATATATGATTGCCACCTCTACCTGCTACACCACAATGGTGGCCGCCTTTATTTCTTCTACTATTTCTTGGTGTGCATATACTAAAATGGCATAATGTGCACACACGTAAATTTTACATATATTTATTAGCAAGCAACTTGTTCAATCAAATGCATTTGTTTGTTTTGTTCTTCATAACTAATTCAACTCATTCAAGTAAGAACAAAGTCACATTCTCCCAGTATTACAATTTTTGCATTTGGTTGTTTTTTATTGTTTTGTTACACTGGTGAGTTCCTGCAGAAAAATTATAAAACTAGTGGTGAGAACCTAGAGATTATTTACCTTATCGCAGACCCAAATGGAAACATGTTGGGTGTTTCACGATTAGGTAACATTTTTGGTACTCACTAACAAGTCAGCAAAACGTGTCTGAATTCACAGAATCCAGATTTTCTTCACAGAAATTCAATATTTACAGAACACTGATTTTCTTCACATCAAGCCAGTTGTAACTATATATAACCATATGTAACTATAACCATATATGCCTGTCTCCTTTCATCTATTCACGTGTGTTATTTCAAAATACTTACCAAAAATGGATTCATCAGAAGACAAATTGAAGCTTATTAATGTGGTTCCCTTGGCCTTCAGGATTTAGACTGTATGTTTTAAGATCATACCCTATCTGTCCCCATTATTTAAGAAATATGCCAGGCTTTCTCAGTCACTACTGCGTGTGTCTTCTGGCAAAGGAATAATCAATAACCATTTTCTCTTCAGTTTCCTGATGAATTTTGAATCCTTTTGCAAGATTCAGCAAATTCTTTCCTCTGTGTCTTTCTCCTTCCCATCAATCCTTTCATTCTTCTCATCCACACGTAATTTAGGGACATTTCATAACTCAGTTGGCATCTTTCCCTCACGACCGTTACTGCTCTTCTCATTAGACTGTAATTATTATTGACTCTTTCACTAGTCTTTTCTGGTCATAGTTTAGTTTAACTTTTGCAGGTGGATAGGCACTTGGGTTATTTCCAATTTGTGACTACCTATATGTTATTAGGTTCAAACCTATATAAGAACAATGTGGATAATATTTTTTCATTTCTTTTTAGTATACACTTAGGAGTAGAGCTGCTACCTTAGACTCTATAACAACTAATTTTATAACATAAACCCAAACATTTTCCCAAAGCTATAGTGTTAATTTATCAGCAAGGTATCAGTTTTAGCTGTTTCACAAGTTCACCAATATTTAGCATTACCAGTCTTTTAATTTTAATTATTTTTGGGATAGTACTATCTTTTTTTTTTTTCCCTGTTGGCTAATGCTTACTGGCCACCTGGATTTTCCCCATTTTTAAATCTGAAAAGTGTTTCTTCTTTGTCACTTTTTTAAACTCAGTAGTTAACTGAATAGTCTTCTTGTTAATTTTCAAGAATACTTTATATATCCTGGATGCGGGCTTTGTCTCACACATACACATACAAATACACAGTATCTCAAAAGTTAAGTAACCATTTCTGCACTGGCCTGCTTTTCTACTTTCATAAAGGTGTTTCTGAATATACTAAAGTTCAATTAATGAAGTCTATGTCCCTAATTTTTTCTTAAATAAAAGGACTACAACAAGGCTGGCACTGTGGTGCAGTGGGTCATCATTGCTTGCATGCTGGCATCCACTATTCAGATAGTTGCTTCAAGTCCAACTTTCTGCTTACAGCTCAGGAAAATCAGCATAAGATGGCCCAAGGGGCTGTGCCTACGTAGCCGTGTGGGAACGCAGGGATGAAGTTCCTGGCTGCTGGCTTCACCTGGCCCAGTGTTGGCCTTTGCTGCCATATGGGGAGTGAACCACTGGATGAAAGATTCTTTTTCTCTTTCAAAAATAAATAAAAATAAAGATTTTTTAAAAAAGATTTATTTATTTTTTGGAAAGGCAGATGTACAGAGAGGAAAATCCTCCATCCGATGGTTCACTCCTCAAGCAGCCACAAAGGCTGGAGCTGAGCTGATCCAAAGCCAGGAGCCCAGAATTTCCTTCAGGTCTCCCATGCAGGTGCAGGATCCCAAGGCTTTGGGCTGTCCTCCACTGCCTTCCCAGACCACAGGTAGGGAGTTGGATGGGAAGCGGGGCTGCCAGGATTAGAATCGGTACCCATATGAGATCCCGGCGCATTCAAGGCAAGGACCTTAACCTCTACACTATCGTGTCAGGCCCCAAATAAATAGTTTTAAAAAGCACTGTACTAAAACCAAAAATTAATAAATAGCCTGCACAATTAAAGATTTAATCTATATCTTACTATTTTAAGTTTCCATAAGTCCTATTTCTTATTTTTTAATTTCTAATATATTCTTGATTATAAAAACAGATAACTTCCCTAATGTTTTACTACATTCTTTCAGACTGGTTTGCTTACTTAGATAAAATTTCTGTTTAAAAATGATACAAATAGAGCTGACATAGTTTCTTTTTAAAATATTACACATTGCCAGAAATATCAATATTGAAAAGCAAACACAGGGGCACATGAACAGCCTAGTTTGTCTTATATCAGTCATAAAACCTTACCTAACTTCAACATTCAGAAAAACAAAGGAATGAGATCAGATAACTGATAACCAGTTTTTTCCTCTGGTAAAATAGAGACAACTGGTCTATTTAATCTTGAGAATTCTAATCAAATTTAACACTTCTCTGATGAGCTCAAACAGTGCTTTTCTCACAAGTGTAAAAATCAGAAGTCAGGGCAGCTTCAGAGTTCGCACAATTCCAAGGGAAGAGGCTCACACCGCAACACAGCCATACACAGTGGCCTGACTAAGGCTGGTCATCTTACTCCTTTTAAGAATGATCTTAGCCTCAGATCACCAAGACTAAATCTTACATGCCCCACCTCAAGAAAATACCATTTCGAATATTATGAAAATATTAGAAAGACACACAAATTTTAGGAAATCTCCTTTATATGACATCTTAAAGACTGTGAACTATGTGAATGTTAGTTCAAATACTCAAAGCTGGGTTTATAAAATTCGCCTTTTAAAAAAAGACTGATGTGAAACGCATCAGTCTGTGACAGAGAAGCAAAGGAAGAGGAAGAGTCAGGAGCCAGGAGCCAGGAATTTCATCTGGGTCTCCCACACGGGAGGCATGGGTCCGACTATTTGGGCTAGCCTCCACTGCCTCCTCAGGAACACAGCAGGAAGCTAGATCCAAGCCGAGCAGCTGGTACTGGATTCTAGCACCCTGTGATAGTCCTTTGAAATCATTCCTTCCTTCTCCAAGGCACTGTAGTCCTTAGGCTGTCTCAGCTCCTAGACTTTGTAATGCTCAACCAGCTCTTGTTTTCTTTCTACTTTTCTATGTTCTCTAGATTAGCTATTCCCTACTGGAGCAATTTTGAATTCTTTCTTTTTTTTTTTTTTTCTTCTTAGTCTCTTCACCCATTGGTCTGGTAAGTAAAACAAATAAAATTTCCACCTAAAATTAGGAAAAGGAAGAAAAGGAATGACTGCATCGATACATGTTTTATATTTCTCCTAGTCCTTCACAGCAAAAGTCACATTGCATCTGTGAACAGCATATGATCAAAGTAATGGCTGCTATTTTAATCTGTTGTTAAAAAAAAAAAGTAACTTTGAGAAAAGTCTATTAGGACTATCACAATGGGAGAAATTTTACAGTAAAAATCTGCCTACAGGACCAGGTGCTGTAGGCTAGTGGCTAAAGTCTTCATCTTGCATGCTCCGGAATCCCACATGGTCATCGGTTCATATCCCAGCTGCTTCATTTCCCTTCCAACTCCCTGCCTGTGGCCTGGAGAAGCAGTGGACAGCCCAAGGCCTTGGGACCCTGCACCCACATGGGAGACCTGAAAGAAGCTCCTGGTTCCTGGCTTCAGATCAGCTGAGCTCCAGCCATTCTGTCTACTTGGGGAATGAACCATCGGACAGATCTTTTTATCTGTCTCTCTTTCTCTCTGTAAGCCTGTCTTTCCAATAAAAATAAATAAGCTTTTAAAACATATGCACACAAATATACTCTATTAATGAAATTACAACAAAAGGTATTATTTAAAAATAAAGACCTTGCACAATTAATTCCAATAGAGATGTGCTCAAGAAATAGGCTTCAATTTGTTTTTTCAAACCCTAGAGCTTGCTCTTTAGAACCATGTCACAATTTCATAGTCCTGGGCCACACTACTTTCTCTCAGATGTTCTTCCTTATAAGATCTTAAGCACCTCAATTCAGAAAATATCTCCCTCTTGGACCATTCAGTGCTAATCTGAAAAATTCCTCCTAATCTCTCTTACAGATCCATAGTTCTGGGAATCCAACCCTCCCTTAGTCTACTTTTTATAATGTTTAAATTCAGTGAAACACATTTATCTGATAGGTTTCTAGATTTTTATAATATTAAAACAACTTGCAAAATCCTATAACGACAAGGTGTTCATTCCAAAAAACAAGAGGTGGTTTATTTATACTGCTTTAAGAATTCCTCAAATTAATAACAAAGATTTTTTTGCAGAAAAACAATGAAATCAACTATCATCCTAAGAATTTTAAAAGCATGACTGTTTTGGAGCTGGCCCTGTGCTGCACAGGCTAAGCAGCCACCTGCAGTGTAAGCATTCTCTATGAGCACTGCAATGCCACCATGTCATGCGAGTCCCAGCTGCTCTACCTCCTATCCAGCTCCCTGCTAATCAGTCTGCAAAGCAGTGTAACAAGACCCAAGCACCTGGACCCCTGCCATTTACATGGGAGACACAGGTGGAGTGTTAGGCTCCTGGTTTCAGCCTGGCCCAGTCTTAACCACAGTAGCCGGTTGTGAAGTGATCCAAGAGATGGAGGACTTCTTTCCCTGTCTCCCGTTGTCTTTTACTCTGCCTTTCAAATTAGCACAATAAATGTTAAAAAAAAGAAAAAGCACATATCTTACAGTACACTAAAATGTAACTTGGAAGTAGCAAAAACTATGTAATAGAGGAATCTTCAAAGTACTACTCATTGATGAGAGTATAATGTAAAATATTTCATGAAATTATATTAAAAGCATTAGACAACTGCCCCCTAGTAATTCAAATATTTCAGTAACTACTCAAATTTATTTTAATTATGAAATTTACTCACATGAAACAGCTCTCTGAAATAAACATATACTTTTAGAATAAAATACATATAGGCAAAGTTTTCCAATCACAATAAGTTGTTAACAGCTGTCACCAATACAAATTACATCACAATACTCTAGTAATACTGATTTATTAGCACTCATGTTACCTTGTAACGTCAACATGATGTTCAGAGTACGTACCTCCTGTGCAAGATCTTGCGCATTGGCGAGCAGAGGAAAAGGAGGGCTGGCCTTGTTCATGTGTACGGTGACAGCATTGTGTATCTTAAATGCATTCTGGAAATCTTTATTTTGTAAGAGTTGTAAAAGCAGAGAAATATCTTCCTGGCTCTGAGAATCTACCAAAGTGTGCTGGATATGTTTAAGTGAAGCAAACAAATCTTCCACTTCTAGTAGGAGAGGAAAAAGTATCTAAAATTAATTGGTTTTGCTTCAACTAAAGATGTGTTTTAAGATGAAATTTCATCAAACTGTAACGATTTACATTTTGGAAAAAAATCTTACATATCTTTCAGTGTCAATAAATGTCATTTTCTGTAATTATTGAGTAAAACTCCCTAAAATCTGCACAGAATAACTTACATCATTGAGAACTTAAAAAAAAAAAACTATAAATAGAAGAAAAATAGCAATAAGCATTTAAAATGCTTTTATAAATCCCCAATAACCCTACCATGTAAAAACAAAATTTCCCCCTTAATATCTTAGGGTATTTCCTTTTTCCATAAGCAAACATTGTTAATTATTCCCCCCAACTAGTAAATAGTCATTAAAACATATAATGGCTCAGTAATGTTCTATGAACAAGTTAAATTTTATTTATAGTAACTATTACACTAAATTTTAATATTGAAGTTGCTTCCAAGCTTTGCTTCTGTAAATAATAACATTTCAGTGCACAGAAATCACTGCTACATACAAACTTGCCTGAGATTCTTATATTTTCTTAAAATAACTCCTGCAAACAGAACTTTTAAACATGATCCTGACATAAAAATGCCAAAAGAGTCTTTACTACTTGACATCCCATTAGCAATATTTTCTCCAACATTCTCAATTTTTTAAATCTTCAACTTAAGAGGGAAGTTTAAGTTTAGTTTACAATGGACTTCTTTTGTGGTCTAGATCACCTCAATGACTACTCTCGCACCTTGCTAGTGCACCCATACAGCACATGCATCCCACAGCGATTATCAACACGGAATCTCTTGTTCCAACAGGAGGAGAAAGCTGGGGGGCAGGGGGAGGTGTAAACCACTCAGGAGTCAGGAATTCCCTTTGGCTCTCCTGTATGGGGTGGCAGAAACCCCAATGCCTGGATCGTCATGTATTAGCAGGAGTCTGGCTCAACAGCATGAGTAACTAGGACCGGAGTCAGGCACTCAGGGAAACAGGCGCTCAAAGCAGTGACTTAATCCGTGACACCATAATGCCCTAATCTTTAATCATCTCTTTCCAAAACATACAGTTCTATCATTGCATGGCCTAGAAAGTGGCACACAGTTGACCAGCAAATATTCCCGGAGGGAATAAATGCACATTATCACCTCCCATTAGCACGACATGAAGCATGTGTTCTTTCTCGGCTTTTAATCTACAGTGTTCTCCCAGCTCCTCCAGTTTCACTCTTCCTACCTACACTCCCAACAAAACAGATATTAGAGAAAGATACGTTGGATCAGATCTGGCACTGACCTATTCACCTTCCAGTCATTCATTCCGTCATCTGAACAGAAGACAATACAGGCTTACTCAAAACTTACAATTCAATGTAATTCTCTAACATGATAATACATAGGATGATTTAAGGGAAAGAGAGCAAGTGAGCAAGCAAGAGAGAGCTGTGTACCATCTTGGAAATGGTGTTGAAAACAGCTCTCCAGTTCTACATTTGCTGTTATATTTGTGGCCATTTAAAAAAATCAAATATGACTTTTAAAATTTTATTTGAGAGGCAGAAAGATAGAGTTTGCATGCACTCATCCTCAAATGGCCATAGCTGTGAGCAAGAACAAGCTCCAGGTTGGTAGCCTCTATCAGCACTGCCTCTCAGGGTACGCAGTAGCAGGAAGCTGGAGTCAGACCAGGGTATCAAAGCTAGGTATGTGATGTGGAATGCAGTGTCACTCTTAACTGGGAACTTAACCTCCTGGCTACATCCTGGCCCATTTGTGGACACTTTTATTGTAGGACATTCAGCATGGAAGTTCTTTACATATGACATTGGAACTACCTTTTCCTATGTGACCTTTTCCATCATCTGTGCTTCTTGCAGGCCATTAATATGTACCAACATTTCTTCAAGCTTCATTTTCATTTTAAATAATTTATTGGGGCTTATTTTAGCAAAGATTTGTACAGTAAATTCAATGATAAAATACTCTAGGTTTAGAAAAATGTGCATTCAGTATCAATATCTACTATAGATTCATGCCCAATAACATTCTAAACACTCCAAAAAGCAGTAAGAAACTGTTTAATTCATTTAACCCAGAGTTCTCAAAATTAAGTTATAAACAAATAACCCTTTTTTTTGCTTATCCATTAACATATTATAAGACTAGTTTTCTCCCCCACCCCCATCTGACAATTTGGGAATAGCCCAGAGTATTCCAAGCTGCACTTTCATTGATGCCACATGAATAGCACCCGTCAATCTTACTGATAATATTAAGCAAATCAAATAGATCTTCAGCTAGTAAGTTTATCACACTTTTGGTAAACTAATGCAGTTCAGAATTTCAGATAGAAACTTGGACTCTTACATATTGTTGATGTTAATGTCAAAAGACATAAATAATCATTGTGGGAAAGAATATGACAGTTCTTCAATAAGTTATGTGTAAAATTACCAGACTATCCAGCAATTGTACTGGGCATACATCCAAAAAATATTGAAAAACAGGTGCTCAAACAAAAACTTGCACATAAATTTTGTAACAGTACTACTCACAATAGCTAAAACAACTTAACAATCTAAATACTTCACCTATAGTAATGAGTGGATAAGCAAAACAGCACAAAATGTGTTAGATCCACACAGTGGAATATTATCCAGTCATAAAACAAAGCATAAGGTGCTGACTCATGCTGCCACATGGATGAAACTTAGAAACAGTCTGACTGAAAAGAGGCAGATCACAAGAGGGCATTTATTATATGATCCCATTCATAGGAAATTCCAGAATAATCAAATCCAAAATACAGAAAAGTATAAATTGATGTTTTTCAGGCACTGAGAACAGGAGTCAGTGCTTGCTAACAGGTATCGTTAGCAGTCAGGCTGATGACAATACTTCACAATCACATAGCGGTGATGGTTGCACAACTATGTATATATGTAAAAAATGAATGACCTGCACACTTTAAACCTATTCATTTAAGGTAGAATTTAAAAATTACTAGTTAAGATCTAAAAGTTACCTTTATGTATTCAAGAGTAGGTGAGTGATCTCTCTGGTAGTTTCTGGTTCTTGTAAAAAAATAAATTTTACTCAAGTCTATAGTGTGTTACTCACATATATTATCACCCCCCACCAATTTGGTCCTCAAGGAAACTGTGGCTCAGAAAAAGTGAGCTGCTCAAGGTCAGCAAGAATTAAGTGACAATAAAAAGTACTTAAGCACAGGCCCAGAACTGGACATAGTAGTTAAGGTGCCTCGTCGGATGCCTGTGTCCAGTATCAGAGTGCCTGGTTCAAATCTCACTTCTGCTTCCCACCCAGCCTCTTGCTAACACTCACCCATAGGGAAGACCCAGATGGAGTTCCCAGTTCCCGCCAGAAGCATGGCTATTGCAGACATTTTGCAAGTGAATTAACAGAAAACACGTTTCTCTCTCTGCCACTCTACCTTCCACATATATATATTTATTTGAAAAGCATTAGTTCTGATCCAAGGGTTCTTGCCCTTTCAATACAACTATGATATGCATTTCTTAATGTGCTATCAATAAAATAATGAAGTTACTCTTTGGAAGAAGGAAAAAGTTAAAATCTACTACTGATAAGTAGGAAGAAAATTTGATGGATTTTGTGAAAAACTGAATGCTATAGCATTCAGTTATGTGTACTTAACCAAATCTACACAGAGGTATTCTAAAATGAATCTTCTATATTCTAAAAGACTTATTGAAAGCTAGAGTTAGACAGCATGGGAGACAGAGACCTTTCATCTACTGATTCACTCCCCAAGTGGCTGTGAAGCCAGGAAGAATGGACCTCCTTCAGCGTCTTCTACAAGGGCCCAAGTACTTGGCCATCCCCAGCCGCCTTCCCAGGCATGTCAGCAGGAAACTGAATTACAAGTAGAGCAGCAGACCTTGAACCAGCTCTCATCACAGGCAGCTGCTTACCCCACATGTCATCACATCTACCCTTACAATGAATTTTTAAATTTTTACTTTTTGATTAGGACTAATTTCAGTAATTTGACTAAGAAAACTCTCCAATGGTCTCTACACTTTCAACATTAAAACTTAGTATTAACAGGTTGAATAAACTCCAATACAAAATAAATCTCCAAAAGAATGGTCAATAAAGTTTATTTGGAACTATCTATGGCAGTTAAGCAAAAAATAGATAGCAAAAATAATTAACATACTAGAATTAGGATAAATTAAAATTCAAAATTTGCTGGCACAGAATTTTGCTTATTAACTTTAAATGAGCTCTATTTCTAGTATTTTAAAAGCTATATCCAGACTTTGCAAATTTATTTATTTATTTTCATTTATCTAAAAATCAGGGAGAGACAGAGAGAGATGTTTTGCCTGCAAGTTCATTTCCCCACATGACTCAAACCAACAAAGGCTGGACTAGTACAGAGCCAGAAACATGAACTCAATCCACATCTCATACACAGGTTGCAGGGAGCCAATTACTTGAGCTGCTGTTCCCCAGGGTATGTATTACAGGAAGATGGAATCAGGAGTGCAGTTAGATCACAAACTGTGAATGCGGATTCAAGTGTCCAAACCATCATCACAGCCCCTGTACCTTTATTTTAATGACAATCTTAACATTTATCACAATTAGACAAAATTCCAGTATATGCTATAGTCAATCAAATCAGCTATTGATAGAACTGTAGAAAAGCCATTTTACTTTCAAATACAGATATTGATCAAAACTCAATTGTTATTAGTATGAAATGTTTCATTTTCTAATTTCATTCTTCCTAGCTGTCTTCCTTATTTTCTTTAACAGAATCAGGTTTAGATTGGAAAACTCCAAATGACAGGTTACAAGCCTACTTACTAAACACAAAACAAGTCACCATGGGTGAGTGCGTTTGCTTTCCTGATGTCTCATCAAGGAAGCAACATCCACAAATACCTTCACACGTGAAGACACTTGGAAAAAGTTCATTAACAAAATTAGGGTCCAGTGCCATGGCTCAGTGGCTGAAAAGCCCTTGCTTTACAAGTGCTGGGATCCCATATGGGCACTGATTTGTGTCCTGGATGCTTCATTTTCCAACTGGCGCCCTGCTTTGTGGCCTGGGAAGCAGTAGAGGGTGGCCCAAAGCCTTGGGGCCCTGTACTCTCATGGAGACCTAGAAGAAGATCCTGGCTTCTGGCTCCTGGCTTTGGGTCGGCTCAGCTTTGCAGCCACTTGGGGAGTGAACCAGCAGAGAGGTCTTTCTTTATCTTCTCTCTGTAAATCTGCCTTTCCAATAAAAACAAATCTTAAAAAGAATTAAAAAAAAAAACCCACACAATATTAAGAAACAAAATTTAAAGTGTGAGTTTTTTGGTATAAAAAAAAGAAATTTATGCATAGATTTTTTTTTTCTCAAATAGGCCTCTTCCATATATTATGAAAAAAATCTGCATCAAAACAAGCTCATATTTTTTGTTCCATTTCCCTGTTAACTGCTAAAAAGATAAATGTCTTTTTTTCCTAGTTGACCCTCTCTAAACATTCTAGTATATCTACTTATCCATATCCCTGACCCAAAATTACTTGTCTACAAACACAAAAACAGTGATATCTATCGGAACTAGCCTACACTATACCTCATCCCACTCTAACTGGCATCCTGTTCCTTTCTCAGTCTTCACAAGTTAAATTTGCTTTGAATATAAAAGAGAACAAAGATAGTGCAATTCATTTGTAGGAAAGTAAGTTCTCAAAACTAATACTAATTTTAAAGAAGCCTCCCTAACATATCAAAATTATCACATTTTATATTACTTGCACTATTTTCTGGTTTTCAATCTGATTCAAACTGCTTTTAAACAAGAAAACTCTTTATATCCTGAACACTAGCCGACAATTCTATTTTTCTATTTTTATTAATAAACATTGCCAAATTTACAAATATTTTCATTTCAGAAAAACCCTCAAAATTAAGAAACTGACATTTCTAATTCTTAAGAGTTTCAGTTCTTAAGAGTACTTAGTCTACTCACAGGTAAATGATGTATCACTTGAAAACCGAAGACTTCCTCTCCAATCAGCAGCCCCACTTCCCCTCCTTTCAAACAAGGCTGCTGTTTCTGGCTATGACACAGGCCGAGGAGTTGCTGCCTATGTGTGCACTAATCAAAAACTGGCAAAGAGACATGCAGCATTTCAAGGGAGTACTTTGTTACAGTTTGATGTGTTAGCACATTATGAACATGAAAAAAACTTTGGTCTAAAGCTGTTAAATGAAAACTTCAGATTGAATATATCCACACACTGTGGTTATGACTGACAGAAAACAGCTTATTCTAGCTTTTCATGTTAACTTGGAGTAGACATTTGTGTTAAGTCTCTTACCCATTAAATTTGCCATTTTCAACATATTCTCCTTTCCAAGAAATAAATTATAAATAGCTGGCACTACATCACAAATCATGCTAAAGTAAAATATATAAAAGTCTTAAGTTACAAGGATCATATGAAGGTATTCTTGAAAACCATACTGGGCTACTTTTAAACAAGTTCAAATGAAAGGTCAGCAACGGAACAAACAGGTTCTACTTTTTGTGTTCAAGCAAAAACAAAACATACATTTTTACCCTAAGTGAATCTGGCTTATGCTACAGATTCTCATGGAAAAAAATGGAGTTAAAGGTTAAACTATTTTTACCAACGTAGGGGGAAAAACGTATTTTTATGCAAATTTTAAATACATAGATAATTTTTTTCATAATACACATTTCATGAACTTTTAGAAGATCTGCTGCATACATCTTAAGCATTTTTCTGCTCCCAAATAAATTTATTTTTAAATTCCACTTTTCTCAAACTTTCTGAAGTAGTATCATATTTAATGTGATAACCACATCTGTAAAGCTTGTAACAGTTATGTTAGTTTTAAAGGAAGTCACCCAGAAAAGCATAAGATTCAGCCCAAGTTGGGTTGACTATCTCATAATTAACTTTTTGCAACAAAGAATATTTATAGAAAGTTTTAATGAAGAAACTAGTGGAAGAAAATGAAAATTTAGCAGACAATCACTGAATATGCATCCATGATTTCTTAAAACAGAGGAACATGCACATTCGAAATGTGAATCCTAAATAAATACATAAATTTTACACTTTTACAAAGAATGGAATTACTGACACAGGCAAAAGAAAGATGATGTGAAAGAAACTGTTCAACCTTGATCTTTTGTGCCCTAACCATCTATGTAAAGATTGTCAAAAATAAAGGAAGAAACTACAAAAAAAAAAAAAAAAGAGAGAGAGAGAGAGAGAGAGAAACTGTTCCAACTTAGAAGACTTAAGTAGTTATGGACAAATTAGAAAAAACTGGGTACCCAACCTTCCTTGTGAGCATGGTTCTAGCCTTGACTCAAACCTGCCTCCTTTGTCTGACAATGGTAACTCCAAATTCAAACTCTGTTCTACTACCACTTACTAGTTGGCCATCTTAAACAAGTGGTTTAACTGAATTGACATTTCTTTATCAGCAAAATTAAGATTATAGAATCTATGGACAAGTTCATAATAAGTTTGATATAGAATGGTGTTTGTTAAAGCACTTAGGGCTTACTGAGCAACAAAATGATGACAGTAAAAACAAAAATTCCCTCCCTTCCACAAAAGGGAAACATCTAAAACACCTAAAAACCATTATATCACTAAGAAATAAAACACCTCATTTGAGCTGGACTGGGAACACAAATTAACATATGAGGCGGCATTTCACAAAATGAACATTATCAACTCTAAACATTAGATCAGAGAGCACTCATGTGCAGAAGAGATGGACAGTAAATTCAATGATAAAATACTCTAGGTTTAGAAAAATGTGCATTCAGTATCAATATCTACTATAGATTCATGCCCAATAACATTCTAAACACTCCAAAAAGTAGTAAGAAACTGTTTAATTCATTTAACCCAGAGTTTTCAAAATTAAGTTATAAACAAATAACCCTTTTTTTGTTTCTCTATTAACATGTTATAAGACTAGTTTTCTCCCCCACCCCCATCTGACAATTTGGGAATAGCCCAGAGTATTCCAAGCTGCACTTTCATTGATGCCACATGAATAGCACCCGTCAATCTTACTGATAATATTAAGCAAATCAAATAGATCTTCAGCTAGTAATTTTATCACACTTTTGGTAAACTAATGCAGTTCAGAATTCCAAAATATGAAAACTATTTTTCAGTGTTTTGATACAAAAGATAGATTCCAGGATCTCAAATGTTAGGCCACATGCAAATCTTTTTATATCTAAAAATCATGTTGCAGTGACTAAACATTTATGCCACATGCGTTAGCTCTATGTGGCTAATAGTAAACAGCTACAATTACAGGGCCTTTCCAAGAAAACAAGCAATCTCTGACTGGAATTTAAATCGCCATTACTTACATTCTGCTAAACCCACGATGAACTAAATTAGAACATTTTCCATGGTGCTATTTTTACTTACCTAATATTTTTACAGCATAATGAGGACTTTCTAAGATAATTCCTTCCTCTGTATCAAATATAGGGTTATCTATTCCAGTCTTTGGAGGAATCTGAGCTAGTTTCTTAAGTCTCATGGAAGAATTAAGGTCAAGTTCTTGTTTTTTCCCTTCTTCCTCTCGCCTACGTCTCATGTCTTCCTGTTGCTGCCGAATACGCTCCAGCTGTGCACTTCGCCGGACCGGCATCATTCTGGTGCCCAAGTCCCCAGGGCAGTCCACAGCCATCTCTCGGTGCTTCTGGTGTTCCTCTGGTGATGCAAGACCAACATTTCTTACTTCGCTGTCTGATTCCTCTGTGACATGCCCATTCATATGGGATGTTGTCATGGTTATCTTACAAACCTGCACCAATTTCTATAAAATCAATTTTTCCTATAAAGGCAATTTCCTTGATTCGGTAGTATAAAATCCATGTTACTTCCGAAGAACAAAAATTCTCACATCACATAACCATGTTATGAAAAAGCATCCACGAAGAAAATCTAAGGGGAAAATTGGGAAAGAGGGGAGGAAAGTGTAAGAATTACAAAAGCAAATTTTTACAAAGCTAATATTCTAATCTCCACACAATACAGGAAATACTTAGTAAGTACATAACATTATATTTCTATGTATATTAACTATCTTTCTTTGAGTTTACAAACAATGCTCTGGAAATCAAAGTGCTGCCAAAAAGAACCTCTACTCCCAAGAAATTTAAAGCAAACTATTCAGTTTTACAGCTGAGAAAAATTATGTACTGGAACATTTGGTAAAGCTAGTAAAGAGTTTTGGCTACTAGTCTGGCAGAGAACGTTGATCACAAGAAGGTGTTCTAATCATTTTTAAGGTTTCAATACAGTATTTTATGCCTAATTAATATACAGGGGATTCAAATAACTCCCTAGTTATCATAAAGAAATAGAAGCAACTGATTTGGCAAACAGCAAGGCCATGTTGAGCACAACTGAAATACAGGCAGTATTTCAGGGAATACATAACTCAGTTTCAAGAAGTGTGAGATAATGATGATATCTAAAGAACAAGCAATGGTAATTACCATTAAGGCATCTACAGGATAAGTGAGATAAGATCTACTTGTTCATCTTTCTAATCGGTGAGATCAAAGGAGGAACTGGACTTGTTTATGCCAATTTATTTAGAGAAAACAGTGGTCATGTGTTACAACATAAAGCTTAGAATTCACATTGTAACAACAGTGATATACTGCAAGGAATTCTACTTCCTCTGGCTTTCTGACTTAGGATCAGTTTCTCATCCTGAATTCAGATTTACTTAAAAAATTTATTTGTAGAACTGTTCTGAGTTTTAAATGAGTTAAGGCACGCAAATTATGAAAACACGTGCATATATTAGTTATTACTGTTAATTTGATTCTCCTATTAAATAACCCTTCAACATATCTTATGAAAAATGTTATGCTGGATTACACTGGCATCAAGATACTTCTCAGGCACAAATAGGCAGATGGTTTACAAGCATGTAAACCCACACATTAAATCTAATTAGTCTTCTTCAGCTCAAGATTTTAAAAATATTTACAGTAATAAAGCTAGTACCTCCTTGAGTTGAGCACTACTTCAATAAACAGGCTGGTTAGAGCACAATGCCAAATCAGCAAAATCTGGGTTTTTCCAGACAACACTTGAAATGCCGACCAAGCATCTCAGGTCACAGTGAAAAAGGGACAGGCGCACTGTGTAAGAGAACTCCTTGCAGACTGAGAGGAACACCACCAGGCTACCAATCAGGAAGATGGATCAGTTTTCTAAGAGTTTTGGGAGATTTTTATGTCTTCCATCCAAATTTTAGCTTTTTACCTTACTGAACTATATCTAAGTTCTATCTACTATTACATTACCTTCTTTTGCACTAAAATGAAATCTATTAGATTTGCTACTCAGTTCTTAAATGTTATATGTTAATTATTACACAAATGTGAATTCAGCTTATTTAAAAACAATTTTCATTACAAGCAAAGCTTCTGCAGATATTACTGTGGTCCTATGCTTAATTTTAATAATCCAGGAACATCTATTTCCAAAAATTTAAAACTCTGCCTTCTCAATTTAAAATAGTTATTGCATATTAAAAGCCAATAATAAACCATGCCTTCTAAAATTACAGTAGTAAAAATACAAGCTAGTCTACAAAACTTATGATCTAAGGCTATTTAGTGTTTTTCATTGCAGTAAACTACAAGGGAAAACTAAGGGTCACGCACGAGAGCCTGAACCAGGGAACCTGGTTCAAAATTTTCATGCTTCAAACTGCCATCCTGATGGACTATCTGGATCTAGCGTTTTAACTTCCAGAAAAATGTAGGCAATCTGATAATTACCCAGAGTGTAATTCTACTAGGGTAGACAACAAAGAATTTGTTAGGAATCATTACCTAATTTTTTAACTACCTGTGCTTAATGCAATACATGACATATAGAGGATGCTAATAAATATTCAACTAAGAATGGCATAAATTCACAGAACGCAAAGGCACAGACAATAGGCTCTAAGCAGTCTATGGTAAGGAATATTTGAAAAACACTCAGATCATAAGGACATATCTATTTGGGCCATATTTCAACAGGCAACTAAAAATCCGTCAGAAAGAGGAATATGATCCAGGCAGATTAATTCACATTATCAACAGGAAGGATAAGAATGGAAAAGGCGGGGCCTGGCACAATAGCATAGCATCTAAAGTCCTCACCTTGAATGCACTGGGATCCCATATGGGTGCCGGTTCTAATCCCGGCGCCCTGCTTCCCATCCAGCTCCCTACCTGTGACCTCAGAATGCAGTCAAGGATGGCCCAAAGCTTTGAGACCCTGCACCCATGAGACCTGGAGGAAGCTCCTGGCTCCTGGCTTTGGATTGGCTCAGCTCAAGCAATTGTGGCTGCATGGGCATTGAAGCATTGGATGGAGGAACTTCCTCTCTGTCTCTCTTCCTGTCTGTATATCCGCCTTTCCAGTAAAAAATAAATCAATCTTAAAAAAAAAAAAAAAAAGAATGGAAACGGTATAAAACAGACTAGAATGCAATCAATTCAATCAAGCTGGAAAGGACAAGTGGGGGAACAGGTTGCATATGAAGAATAAAGCTGAAATGAAGCCAGAGGCCAGACTGGGTAGAGTTTTGGAGCTACAGATCGCTACCCTGAAAGCAGTAAGAATCATTACGGAACTTTTAACAGGGAACGGCGAGATCAAAAAATATTTTTTTTAAAGATTTACTTACTTGAAAGTTATATAAAGAAGGACTGTGTGTGAGAAAGACAGAGAAGGAGGGAGAAAAAACAAGAGATAGGAAGAAGAAAGGGAGGAAGGCGACAGAGAGATCTTCAATTCCCCAGCTCATTTCTCAAATGGAAGCAACTCTGGTCTCCCACATGGGTGCAAAGGCCCAAAGACCTGAGCCATCTTTCATTGCTCTCCCAGGCATACCAAAAGGGAGCTGGCTTGGAAGTGGAGTAGTCAGGTCTCAAACTGGTGCCCACATGAGAGGCCAGATTTGCAGAAGGCAGCTTAACCTGCCATGACATTCACAGGCCCTCATAGGCACTCTTCTAGAAAATACCATTCTGAAGTGTTGAAGCATAGTGAACTAACTGTAGAGTGGAGCAGTCAGTCTGAAAGCATCTATAAGAAATGAGTCCTGAATCCTGAGACAGTGAGAATGAAGAAAAGCTACACTGAAGAATCACTTAAGCTACAGAACTGGCATAGATTAGTGTCTATGTAGCAGGGCAAATAGAGGGAGGAAGGCATTGTTGGCTATGGGAAACAAGATTCTGCACTGAAGCTAAACAAGCCTCAACAAGCACAAATGATTATGATTAAGGGAACTGAAATAACTGAAGGAGTACAGGCACACAGAAAACTCAGTAACAAGAAACAGAACCATTTCAAGTCAGAGATGGGAAGCCTGAGCAGTTTGTAGGAAGACAATTGTGTATACAATTAGTATCTTAATTTGCAGAGAGAAATGGATATGTATTCACCATGTTCAGACTACACTAGCACCCACAACTTTAGGATATTTTTCAATTCACCTTCTTTCCCTCTCCAAGTACTGTCCTTTAACCAGCAGCTGGGATGTCTCATTTTAAGCAATCAGCATTCCTCTGACATTCTAAGAGGCCAGACTAGTTGTTTCTATAGAAACAGCTTTGTCAGCTAGCACAGGACTCAGGCCAAGAATAGTGAAAAGAACTTACATTGTGCAAACTGGAAAAACTTTGTCTACTGTCCTTAGTTTCTCTTCTCTGGTTTTTCACAAAACTCAGGCTAACTTTCTTAATCTGTAAAATAGAAAAATGAGACTATTACTCAAGTGAAAAAGTCTAGAGTGTTTCTGAAAGAAGAAAGCAAGCTTAATTCAATATGGTACCCAAGTATGTTTACAGTAGATAGGATTTCTTTGCAGGGTAAGCTAGGCCTCTGCCTGCAGTGCCAGCATCCCATACGGATGCCAGTTTGAGTCCAGGCTCCACTGATGATCCACTACCTGCTCATGGACTGGGGAAACAGCATAGGATGACTCAGGTCCTTGGGTCAAGGCACCCATGTAAGACACTGGAAAGCAGCTCGTGGCTTTGAACTAGCCCAGCTCCAGCCTTTCCAGCTACTTGGGCAGAGAACCAGCAGACAGAAGACCTGCTTCTCCTCTCTGTAATTCTGCCTTTCAAATAAATATATATACAAATAAAATTTAGAATAAAAAAATGTTAAAACTTGTAACTGAAAGATCAATTTACAAGTACCTTTTCTCACCTTAATTCTAGGCTACAGAACTATTTTGTAAGAAAAAAATAATAATAAGATTAACATGGATAAAACAGTTGAAGAAAAACATACAATTTGCTATCCATATTCTAAAATAAACTGAAAAGCCACATGCATAGGAATGAACCTAACCTCTAACCTCATATCACATTCAAAAAACAAAACAACACCTTAAAGTAGAGCAGGTGGGTAGCATTCCAGCTGAGTTGTCACTTGAGACATCCACACTCCATCCTGGAGTGCTTGGCGAGTGCTGATTTCACTCCAAATTCCAACTTCCCATTAATGCACACCTGGGGGGCAGCAGGAAGGAGGGCTCAGGAAGCTGAGTCTCAGCCACTCTCAGAGAGACCTACACTGAGGCCCTGGCTGCCTTCTTCATCTCAGCTCCATCCCAGCCTTTGCAGCCAGTTGGGGGAACGGAACTAGTGGGCCAGAGTTCTGTCTGTCTGTCTGTCTCCTCTCAAATCATTATATAAAAAAAATCATCTCAAAATAGGCTAAAACCTGTTAACACTTCTAGAAACAAACTTCGGGGGAAATCTATAACCACAGTAATCTGGGCAATGGTTTTTTTTTTTTTTTTTGATCTCAAAGTGTAGGCAACAAAGGCAAAACCAGATGAAATGTCTCAGACTAAAAAGTCTCTGCATAGCAAAGGAAGCAGTAGTGTTGGTGAGACAGCCAAAGGACTGGTCAAAAACACCTGCACAACATACATCTGGAAAGGAGTGAGTAAGCGCTCAAATAACTCAATAGCAAAAAAATCAAAGGAAAAAAAACCCAGACATTTCCCCTGCGCCCCAAAAAGATACACAAATGGCTAAGAGGTATATAGAAAAATGATCAGCATCATTCACTCATTAGGGAGGTATTATAACTTTGACAAATTTGAAATAATGACATTATTTCAAACATGTCAGGACAGCAAGTGTTAAGGACACAGAGAAAAGAGAGCCCTTGTACACTGCTGGCAGAAATGTAAATTAGTGTGGGAAACTGTACAGAAGTTTTCTAAAACACAAAGAGTAGAATGACCATATTATGATCCAGCAATCCCACTTTGTGTTTACCAGAAAGAGTTGAAATCAGTTTGTTAAAGAGATGCCTGCTGCTCACACCATTTGGGCAGTAAACCAGTCATGCTGTTTACAGCAGCACTACTCGCAGTAAATAAGCTGTAGAAACAAGCTAAGTAATCTAGAGGTGGTTGGGGTCACCATGGTGGCACAGCTAGTTACGTCACTGCCTGTGACACCAGGGTCCCATATAAGTGGCAGTTGAAGTCGCAACTGCTCCACTTTCAGTTCCAAAACACCAGAAATGGACCACACTCTTAACATGGGAAACCCAGATGGAGTTCCAGGTTCCTGGCTTTAGTCTGACCAGGCCTCAGATGTTGCTGCTATTTGGGCAGTGAACATGTGGAATGGAAGCTTGATCGATTAATCAATCTCTGGATCTCTGGGTTCGAAATAAACCAATCTTTAAATAGATGAAGAAATTTACACACACACACAGAATAATATTTAACCTTAAAAATGGAAATGCAGTCTTTTGTAACAGTATGAATGAACCTGAAGGACATTATGTTAAGTGAAGCAGGCCGGAAGAGGAAGTATTAGAGGAAGACTAATACTACGTGTTCTCACTTAGATCAACCTAACACAGCACAGAGGAGAGAAGAATAGCGATTACACGATAGGCGTTGAGAAGAACAGAGAGAGGATGGCCAAAGGGTACAAAATCTCAGCTAGGAGAAATATTTTAGCTCTACTGAACAGTGTTGATGATAATATGGTACATCAGAAAATTGCTGAGAATAAATTTCAAATGTTCTCACCACAAAAATGCTAAGCATCTGAAGTGATGGATATGTTAACAACCTTGACTAATTAATCCACACTGAGTTCTTAAGTCCCAACATCATTTTATACCCTATAAAGTGCACGTAATTACAGACTTCACAATTAAAAGATTCATCTTCAATTATCACCCTAGTTCATCTGAAACATTTTTGGATGCTACTGTTTCTTGAACAAGGTTGATACTGCTATTCATTATCCTCACCTGGGAAATTTAACAATGTCTGGACATGGTTTCATTGCCACTACTTGGGAAAATCAGATGTATTATTGGCATCTACTTAGTGTCAGAGATGCTGGTAAAAATTCACAGGACAGTGCCAAAACAAAGAACTATCTACTGCAAAATATCAATAATGCGAAGGCTGAGACATGAGTTAAAGTAAGGAAGGCGGATTTACATTGTCTAATATACAAAACTGCAACATTCACTCTTCAATAGTGTTACATGTTTCTTACATGTTCAAGATAAAACTTAAAGTAGCTGGGGTCAGTCACAGCACAGTAAGCTATCACCAGCAGCGCTGGCACTAGTTTGAGACCTGACTGTTCCACTTCTGACCCAGATCCTGCTAAAGAGCCCGGGAAAGCAGTGAAAGATGGCCCAAGTGCTTTGGACCCCGCACCCCCAAGAGAGACCCAGAAGAAACTCCTGGTTCCTAGTTTCAGCCTGGCCCAGCCATGGATTTTGTGGCCACTGGGGAGTGACTCAACACACTGAAATTTCTCTTTTCCTGACTCTGTCTCTCCAACATTGCCTTCCAAATAAATAAAAATAAATCTTAAATAAAAACCTTTTAGGGAGACAATGCAATACTTAACAGGCTGATCCTCTACCTGCAATGGCCAGAATTCTATACGGATACCAGCTTGTGTCCCAGTTGCTCTACTTCCCAGTCAGCTGCTTGTTTATGGCCTGGGAAAGCAGTGGAGGATGTCCCAAGAGCTTGGAACCTGTACCCATATGGGAAGCCCGGAAGAAGCTCCTGGTTCCTGGCTTCAGATTGGCTTAGCCTGGCTACTGTGACCCTTTGAGGAGTGAACCAGCGGGAAGAAGATCTTTCTCTGTTCCTCCTTCTCTCTGTGAATCTGCTTTATTAATAAAAATCTTTTTTTTTTTTTTAAAGATCTTTAGATTGGTAAGCTTCCTTGCTAACAACCCAACAAGCTGTTGCAATCACTTGGGGAGTGAACCACTGGATGGAAGATCTTCCTCTCCATCTCTCCTACTCTTTGTACATTTGCCTTTCCAATAAGAACAAATCTTTAAAAAAATGTATCTTGCAACATAAAGAACCATAAAACGAGGGGACAAGACAGCATTGTAATTCTTTTTGCAGCCAGATACTTTGGTTCCCTACATAGCTTAAGGATTTATTTATTACTTTAAAGTCACAGTTAAAGAAGAGATACTTCATCTGCTAGTTCACACATCAGATGACTGCAATGGCCAAGGCTGTGCAAGGCTGAAGACAAGAGCTTCAACCAAAACCAAATCTCCCTGTTGGGTCACAGGGATTCACAATTGTGAGCCATCTTGCAACATTTTCCCAAGGTTATTATTAGCAGGGAGCCGAAGTCCAAGTAGAGGAGTTGGATTCAACTGGCATTCTTATGGAATCCCAGCCACCCCATAATGCTGGCCACTTCCATAAATTTTAGACGACATTCTGAAGTGAGAAGTGTTTTGTTTTTAATTCAATGGCAAATTCTCTACTTACTGTTATCAAAAACATAGTTGCGAGTCTTAGGAGATATTTAAGATCACAGGCCCATGGCAGGAATTGGTTATATGCCAAAGAGTATCAAAGATATCAAATGGCTGGTTACTTGAACCATCCCATTATCACCTTCAAGTTCTTAGTAATAAAACATTAAATGTATATCCGAAAGGTTAACAAAGTTTTGAATAAGGCACTGGGATAAAAGGTAATTCATAACATTTCTTAACATGTGGTTTAACATTACAGGCAATATGGCTTTTCTGTGACTAACAATCAAGAATGCATATGGTCTACTTGGAGAATAAGAATGGTCTAGATAAGGAGCAGCCAGTGTAAGAGATAGAAGATAAACCAGAGGATAGTCTGAATGCTAAACTAAATTGTTTGAATTCCCTATTGCCAGCAAAGGGGGAGTATGTTTCTGAGTCAGAAGAGAAAAATGGCTCTGCAAAAAGCTAAATCTATTCTACCTCATAACCAGGCTGGACTGGGAGGGGGAGGCGGAATGGAAATAAAGGAATCAGTGAAAACAATGTTTTAATGCTTTGCACATGAGAGGATAAAAGGAAGTAGCAGAAGGAATGAAAAGGGATAATTCAAACTGTTATTACAAAGGGATGATGGGACAGGATTTGGACACAAGAGCAAAATATAATCCTAAAATATCAAGTGGCACTATTAAAGCTGGAAGAATTTTGCACTCACAAAACAGGAAAATTAAAAAAATAAGTTTTATCACCTGTGTGGATGAAGGAGACCGATTATAAATTCCTTCTTACAAATATTGCATTTAAAATGAGAGTTTTGGCAGGACACCAGGGAGAAGGACAAAAATACATGTTGCTGTTTCTACAGGCGATTTTAAGCACATCACCTAGTTCAGTCTTGCAATTTTCCTGGAAGGTAGGAAAGTCAGATGTCTCCATT